TAAAAATGTAACAGTACTAATTAAAGTTAAGACCTATTAAAATCAAAATCTAATAAAATTTCACAGTTTAAAATGCATGTAATTTACGACACTGATTCTTAAAGGATATTAGAATAATTACACATTGAAAGCTACAAAACATTTATGTTGTGTAACAACAACACCCAACAAAATATTTATCCATCATTTTAATTTGAAGCCTTCCCAGACATTTTGTCTAGTTCATATCGATTTCCATCTCTATTTAAGCATCTTTTCTAACAATTAGAGATTTGTCTCAATATGCAAACCAATGCTCTCGCTAGTTTCTGTGTGCTTTATCTCCTAACTTGTCAACCTCTCCACAATGTACCTATGAGGGTTTATTTGATCTGGTAAAAGTTAAATAGTCCAAAACCCCCAATAGAAGTGAAGCAAATTATCACTATGTCTGAAAATAACTACAATATCAGACAAAGGTTTAAATAAGCCTCTTATTTAAAAAGAACTTAGAACAAACATAAAGGCATGTTCTGATGCTTCAATTACATCTCACGGTGATGTAATTAAACAACAGTCAAATACAAACTAAAAATGTGGACTAGTGGTCAAAGATTATACAACTTAATTTTAATTTAATCTGGCTCAGTAATTCTATCATATGAGGAAACAGAAATGGAAAATTATAGTGAAGGCTGAAATCATAAACAATTGCGTAATTTACATAATAATAACTGCACATATCTTTGAAGAATAATTTTCTTTATGTATTCGGTTTCTTTCTTCAGCATGTTTCCTTTTCATTTTAGAATTTTGGGATTTAATTAAGGATTTCTGATTCTGTTTTCCTAAAAAACACTAAATGCATTTAGAATGTATAGAAAAAGTGACTAATTTAATTTCTTTAGTAATATGGATTTCAGAAGAAATATGAAATATATATTGCAAAAGACCAGTTACAGAGCTGGTGTGGCAGAATTTTTAGAATTTAGTGACACACCAAACAACAAAATCTAGAAATGGCAAAACTTTTAGATTTTAGACAGGCTTTGGAAGCAGAATTTAGAAAGGCACTATGCAGTTGAATTTAGGATCCACACAGATTGCATCAGATGGGAAAATGCTTAGTGCCAGCTCTGTGTATTATGCATTAAGACATATTAGATGGATCTTTTAAATTGTAAGTTTTCAATTTCTTTATTAATAAAAAAAAAACCCTTTCTATAATGCCTGCCCAGGTGATATGATTAGAAGCATTTTTATATTTTCCACGCTTGTGTCTAGTGAAAAGTAGAGAAAATAAAGGGAAGATAAACATGTTACGAAAAAGATTCTAGTATCAGGAGTAAAACATTCAAATATTATGTCTTCATTGTTTTTCCAGACGTTCTCCAAAAAGTAAGAAATTCATTGGAAACTTTCTGTAAAATACATCCATTACGCATTTTTACCATGGAGACATTTTACATTTTGTCACATATTTATCGAATCTTCTAGAATCATGGGTCTATAAATCTTGCCTTCAAATCTTTCTAAATTTTCCATGCTGCAATGTCAAAAATACTACAGAAAAATTATCCCAACCAATTCTGTAACAGCAAAAAGCCAGAAATATTTGGGGGGGGGAAAGGGGAGGGAAAAAGTGCAAAATTAATTTTATAGAGGAAACTGATACATATTTTGAGAATTTTGAATATTCTGAGATAATTACATGGGAAATATGCTTACTATGAAAAAATTAAAAACAAGATATTTTTGATTAATTACATTGTTAATTTTGTTTTTGCTAAAAGAGGTTTTGTAAATTATGCTTTATAGCATTATACCTTGTTATTTTTCAGATACAAAATATTGTATAATAAGTTGCCAAAACGAAACTTTATAATATGACAGCGAATTTGTAAATTATGCTTTATAGCATTATACCTTGTTTATTTTTCAGATACAAAATATTGTATAATAAGTTGACAAAATGAAACTTTATAATATGACAGCGTTAATAAAAATGTTTAATTTTAATGTTATTTTTTAAATATAATTCCAATATATTACACATAAAATATATCAAAGTTATGATGTTTTAAAAAATCGTCGAAAAATTCAGATTTCGGAATTAAAAATTTTCTATAGAAACTGATACTGATCTTAAAATCGCCAAATTTAGAGCCGTTTAATAAAAGAATTCACATCCCCAAAAGCGAAAATTGTTTAAGAGCTCTTTATTACAGAGAATGAATTTCAAAATGCTTATGCTTCATTTCTTGCTTAGAAACTCGAGTATCCCATCATTTATATTAGAAATAGAAACAAATTAATACGCATGATCCCATTCAAAAGATAACCATATACGTCAGTGAATCGCCAAAAATAATCCTCTAAAATGCTAATTCACATTCAAAATGGCAGTCGTAAAAACAGACAGAAATTTCAGATGATTAAATTTAAGGACCTTCTACTGATTTTGGCCAAAATTAAGGACTTTTAAGGACTAAAAATCGATTTAAAAAAATTAAGGACTTTTAAGGATTCTTAAGGACCGTACGAACCCTGTAAGATATTTTCAAATGTAACACATATGCAAGTGGAAGACATTCAGCTGGCTTCTGCCTTATCACTTGCTATAGATGAGTCCTGTGACATAAAAGACACGACACAAGTTACCCTTTTCGTAAGGTATATGTCCTTTCAAGGTCCAAACGAAGAATTGTAGGATTGCTATCACTTTCAGGGCAAATTCTCGTGGAGAAGATATAGCAAATGCTGGTGCAAAAATGCCTGGAAGACAGTGGAATCGATATAAATAAAATCGTTTCGATAGCAACTGATAGAGACAGAAGTATGGCAGGAATACATAGAGGGGTAAAATCAATTCTTCAGAAAAGTAACCATGAAACTCTAACGTTTCACTGTGTAATTCAACAAGAAGCGCTTTGTGCCCAAACATTTCCGGCCGAAATTGTTGAGGTCATGAACTTGATAATTAAGATTATTAACAGCATTTTTCAAAAGCACTCTACCTCATCAGTTCAAAGATTTCCTTGATAGTTAACCAGTTTTCTGACCTACTTCTGCACAATAAAGTGTGATGGCATTCCAGAGTTAACGCATTGCAACGTTTTACTTTCTGCTAGAGTGGAATAAAAACATTCCTCAATGAAAAAAGCATTGAGCATCCCAAATTGGATAACAACTACTTCATGGCAGAACTTCTACTACTGCAAAACTTCTACTTCATGGTAGATACCACAATGAAACTAAATGAACTAAATCTAAAACTGCAAGAAGAGGGCAACGATGCCTTGCTTGAAGAAATAGTTTGTTTCGAAAACAAATTACTTATTTTTGTTGAAGACATGGACAGCAGTAAATTAATTCATTTTAAAAATCTGAATTATATAGCAATGAGACCAATTCGACTATTGACACGAATTACTTTCACATAGCTTTAAAAAACATGAAGGATGGATTCGCTGAGAGATTCGAGCAATTCAAAATAAACAAAAGTACTCTTGCAGTCATAGTAAATCCTCTCAATGCAAATACAAATGATATCAACAATGAGACATTTGGAATTTATGCTGGATCACTTCAAATGCAACTGCTTTATTTAAAAACCAAAGACTTGTGGAGTGGCCAGTTCATAGAACTCAAGAGCAAGTTGGAGGTCCAGAAATGAATGAACATCAAGCGGCACATGTGGACAGCTCTAAAAGAGATTCTGCGAGTTGAGGCCCTCATATTCGGCGCATGTAATAGTCTTCCAAAATGGTACAGTGAGGTGAAGAAGTTGGCATATGGAGTACTGACGATCTTCGGGTCGACATAGTCATGCAAGCAAGCGTTCTCTTGCATGAATATAATAAAAAGTAACATAGCGTTCTCTTGCATGAATATAATAAAAAGTAACATTTGAAGTCAACTAACAAATAAAAATCTAGAGTTGTGCTTGAAACTTAAAACAACAAGTTATAAGCCAGATTTAATCAATCATTCAAAAGGCATGCAAAGCCAATGCTCCCATTGTTGTAACTATCTATAGTTGTATTTATATATATATATATAATTCCGTATTTAAAGCCGTTTATTTTAAGTCAAAAATCAAATATGTATAAGCAAAACTATAATATTGAAACAAAATTTTTAGTGGCTCTTTAAAAACTGGGAAATTTTGTAAATTGTAACTTTTGACTCTTCTGTTTCAATAGGTTGTCGACCCCTGGGCTAAGGCAAAGCGAATGAAAATAAAGAACCAAGAGCCTTTAGATATAAAAATTAAAATACAAACAAGTTTTCTACACAGCCTTTGAAGAAATAGGGAAATATGATTGTCCTTGCAAGACACCTCTTTCAGAACTTATAAAAATCTATCCTGAAAAGTTAAAAGAAGTAGCCCTAACAGTAAGAAGGAAAGTTCCTCAAGTTAATGTGGAAGGACTCTTCTCAGCTCTGAAGTTTATCAAATCGGATCTATTGGCCCCTCCAATAAAGAAGATCTTGCCGAAGCTATACTGCTTCTTAGAAATAAGTAATGCCAGTTTTTCCATTTCATAATAAATGCTAATTAATATAAATAATTTGCTATGCCATTAACTTTTTTCTGTAGCATATAAGGTAGCATCATTCTGTAGCATCTGTGTACACATGCAAATATATGAGAGAGTTGGTCATGTTCCCCACCAACTCCACAGTCCTGCTTACATGACACATACTTTTTGACAAAATTCTCTAATTTTACAAAATCATTTCCCTAATCAGTTAAACCCAAAAGAAATTATAAACATATAAAAATTAATATAAAATTTATCATATATTTAAGAGAACATGTTTAATGTTAAGCACAATGGTGGAATAAGGATACACATTTATTCACAAATTATTTCTGCATCTTCTGAAGCCAAGGATACAGTGTGCGTGTGTGGGGGGACCAAACTTTCCTCATGACACATAAAAACAAAACAAGATTTTCCTACAGCAATAATAAAACGTTTCCACTGAAAGCATAAAAATTATAAAAGAGCTACCTGGAAGTTTATTAATATCCAAACTCAACTGCCTTTTCTCATCATAAGACATTGGTTTGGCATTATTGTCTTCTTCTTCACTATCTAAAGCAGGTACCAAAGGTGGAGGTGGTTGTGCAGCAACAGGCGGCTGTTTTGTTTTCCTAGGTTTGCTATTAGTCCTTTGTCGTTTATTCTGATTAGTCTGTTTAGGCTGACTAACAGCTTTAGCTGATGCATTTTTTGCCTTATTTTGTTTTTGAGGCTTTGATTGAGCTTTCTCTAGAGGCAATGGAGCTGGAGGTGTATAAACTGGTGATATAGCAGCAGCAGTAGGAGGAGGAGGAGGTGGAAGAGTAGATGGTACAATACTTTGTACATCTATTTCTTCTTTAACTTTTACTGGATCAGATGAATCTTCCTTTATTTTTTTCTTCTTCCTTTTCTTCTTCTTCTTATCTCTATGGCTACTCTGTTTTGCAAGATTGTGTATTTCTTCAGTTACTTTCTTCAGCTTAAAATAATAATAATAATTAAACATTAGAAGGGAGAAAAAAGGTATATCAATAATGACATATAAATCACCATTTGTAAAGGAAATATAGAAATATACATTAGTCATAGTAAAAGCCTCCACAATTATCATTTTGTTAAGAAACCAAACTACAGGAAAAAAAAATTAATCTATATATTAAAAATACAAAAATCCTCCTTTAATACTTACTGGATGGAAATTATTTATTGATAATATTTATACAAGCCTTGTATACAAAAGAAGTAAATTTCATTTGTTACTATGAGGATCATCTGCAGTATACATAATGGATTAGAGGCATATGGTTATATCAAGGGACTCAAATTTTATAATTGTATGGGAAAAAAATTGTAAGATGCCAATTTCACTGTTTGTCTAATATTCAGTGTTAGAGTGTTACATGATTTGTGCAGAATGGTAAACTTTCATAGCATACTTATACAGTACATGAAAAATCATGATGCTCTTGTTGAAAACTAGTATGACATAACAAAACTAAATTCTGCATCATACAGGCATTCTTTTAATACATTAATGGCACAGCTGCCAATCTCTAAAAAGCAAGATTTTTTTAAGAGGTTTTTGCACAGCATGGTAACGGCGATTCAAAAAGACATATTTGAACTAAAAATTCATTCTATATTGCATCTTTAAAGATATTAAACTATTTATAATAGGATTCTTGTGAAAAATTTCACATTATTTAATACGATAGTCTGAATTTTATGATCTTTCACTAATTTAATTAATTATTAATTTTTTAACACTTTTATAGTGATAAAAATCCTGAGCAGAAAAGAAAAGCTCCTATTTATCAAAAGCATTTATTTGTAAATACGATGAAAATAAAATTTATAATAATTTTACATACAAACTGTGTGGATAAATGCAACATTTATTGACATAAAAAAACTGAATACAAATATTAGACAATTAAACGTTGGTTGAATGTTTATAAAAAGTTTTTCCCAAATATGTTAAAAATATGTTTTAAGATGTACAATTATTCTGCTTTAATCTAATGGATCGAGAAACAGGTGTTAAAAATATGTTCTCAGACATACATGTATCATCATCTTAACCTATTTGAATAGGAAAACTGCTGTGGATCAATACCACATCATAAATCTGATGACACGCAAATTCATCACAGAACACAAGCACACTTCAATAATCTGCCACATAAACTAATGCTACTTATTCAAAAATTACACAAAACATTTATGCTTCTACAAATGAAAAGATTAAATACAAGAACATTTAAAAACTAGAAAAAGATATAATCCAAAACCTGAGATCATAATTCAATTTACCACCATCAGATTATATCCTTCTTCAGAGGCTTAACAGCTTTTAATCATTTAAATGGAAAATAGCTAAATACATACGGTAAGGTCCTGGCTAATTTTCTTTATTTCAAAATGAAAAAAATTAAGGGGGAAATAAATTAAGCTAGGAAAAGATAATAAACACTGATGGAAATTATATTTACAATTAAAGACTAAAATGGAAAAATATTATTACAGAACTTATAAAAAAGCTCTAATATTAAGCTAATATACACATACAGCGAGAGAGCGAAATATATCCCAGAGCACATTTTAAAAATAGCTTTACAGGGGAAAGAAAGAATAGACAGAAAAAATTGTGTTTAGACTTTCTTTGCCTCTCATTTACCTAACTTAGTGATATAATATAAACATATAGCTCCTATCTTCTTTACTATCGCAAAGAAATGACCTAGGAATTTCACTGGATTTTTTTCAGAGATGTTGTTAAATGTTAATCAGCTCTTTATTTTAAGCAATCTTATGGCAAAAAATACTAAACTTGAAAAATCTAACATAGAGCGAGCTTTTTATATTTCAGGCCATACCATAGAAAGTGAACGTTAAATTGAGGTTGGACTATTTTGCAATTAAAGGGTTACTAAAAAATCAATAAATTTAAAAATCGCCCAACACGTAATTTAACTTAAAAATAAGTCATGCTGATGAATATAAACAAATTTATTTCTCATTGATACACCAGCTTAAATCTACTATTTACATTTGCAGCACAGAAAACATGAATAAAACGTATGCATCCAGTATTGCAAGGCACAGCTACACATATTTTGCACAGCTAAAATAGTCTCTTTTCTTTTCTTTTTCTTCTTTTTATAAAAGCTGTAACATCAGACGTATCAACTATACAAACATAGCTGTTGAAATATAGTTAAATTATATTCATTTTAGGACAAGAAGGGAACACCTAATTCTTTCTGCTTATTTATATGAAAAATTGCTTTATTCTTTCACATATGGATTTCTCAAAAGTTAAATTTTGGAAATGCAGAAAAATAAGAAAAACATACTTCTTCTTGAAGTTGTTGCAACTTTAATTGTCTGGCTCTTTTCTCCTCTTCAGAATCACTAGAACTGCTGTCTGAGGATTCAGAGCTTGATCGTTCACGAACTTCTTCCTTAGCAGGAGGTGGAGCTGGAGTCGTTTCCACTGGAGAAGGTTCGTCGGGCATTTTGGCATACCTCATTTCAAAAACATCCTAGAATTTTTAAAACATAAGTACATCCCATAAATCTAACCTAGAAGTACATATAATTTAGACCCAAATAAATAAATACACTGAATTATAAAAATATAATAAGTTATGCAATTCCTTATATGTTATGTAGTTATGCTCACATTTTAGAGAAGGGGTATCAATGCATAATAAAATGTAAGAATCTTTTTGAATATTTCAAACTAAATAGATAGAAATGAATAACTTTTTGCTCAAAAGCAGCACTGAATCATAATAAAGTATTTGATGCATTATATAAAAAAGAAAAACTAAGATATCTAAAGAACACCAATCACACAACAGCAGAATAACAAATATCACATACACAATAAATTTTTTCTTTTTATTTAAATGCATCTAAATATATTAACATACTACACTCAAACAACTACCAAACCTGAAATATGAAAATATAGAAGATTTGTTGAACTGCACAGTCACACAGGACTTTCCAAGGATTACAAATTCACACATCTGATTTAAAATAATGCATTGTTAGTAGTGTTAATTATAACATGTCGTCTTCATATTATAATTAATTTTATAACACTAAAGATGCATTGTCTTTGAAGTGAAATATATTAACACCTAATTCATTCAAAACTAAAATTTATACAATAAAAAAAAAAAGTCTTATATCCAAATACAGTCAAAAAAAGTCTTTATTCTTCTATTCCTATTCTGAAAATAATGCATAAATTTAAATTGTCACTTCTTCATCACATTACAGGACTCACAAAAGTTCGTCTAAAACTGAAAGTGAATTATATTACCTTCATTTAAAATATGCTAATTCTACTGTAAATTTTCCCCCTTTTGATCATAAATCTTGCTCTAGAACTGATATCACTTGCCAACGGTATAAAAAAGTCCTTCTTTCTAAATTCCAAAACCTCACATCCCAGTCGACTAGTCCCACCCATCTTGTTATACTAATTCTACCCAGTGTAAATACTAATCCTATCATTAATATCTCGAATATTAATCTTTTGGAGGATCAGATGAAAGTATTAAAGTTTAACTTCAACTTTTCAAAGACACGTATACCTTCCGTTTCTCAAATTATCAGCGCTAATGGGAAAAATTTAAGTTCTCTAAATTTTGGTAAAACAGAAGAATACAATCCGCCACTTAAATACTCATAACATGAACCTTAATAACAAATCATTTGTTTTGAAACTTAACCAAAATGAAACTTATTCCTTTTATAAACTTTGAATCTTAATGAAATTAATTCTAATACTATTTTTATTTATTCTAATACTATTTTATAATTTTGGCTTCCAGATGACCACATCTGAGTGGAGGACTATGTTATTCAAAATTTAATGTCCCTAGGTGCCGTTATTTTTTCACAGCGCGAGAAATATACATACATTCATGCAGATTTCTTCATTATTTAATTTCTTTAAATATAATTCAGGGATTTAATATTTGGTGAGAACAAGCTTTTTTTTTTTTTTTTTTTTTTTTTTTGTAAAATAAATTTTCAAAGCATAAGATTTATATCAATGTACTCAATAATAATACTAAAAATAAACACACACCTGTAGTTTACGAGCCATGGCAACAACTTCATGATCAGGAGGATTATACTTATAACAATTTGTAAATATTAACCTTACATCAGCAGCAAATTCAGAAGGAGAATGATATGCTCTGTCTTCAAGTTTTGCCTTAAAAAGAAAACGAGTATTTCTAATTAATCAGATTTAAAAGATTTCACTTACATTTTTGGCTTAAATAAAAAATATCAGTGATACACAAAGGATACTGCTTGCTTGTTTAATCAATGTGATACAGCATATTATAGCTAGCTGGCAAAGGTGAGAAATAATTTAGAAGTTTTATAAGGTGTTTCTCCCACCTTCCCAGCATGCCTTCGTACTGTAGTGGTTCTGCACGCTGGGCTGGTATTCCAAAGGTCCGCGGTTCGATTCCGAGCAAAGGCAATTGCTCATTTTTTATCTTGCCTGCTTCCAAAAAATATCTAATGTCTCTACAGTGGTGCCCAAACTAAAAGGGTGTTGGATGATGATTCTCCTCAGGATTTGGCTATTGGGTCCCCTAAAAACCCCAGTCGGCCTTTAAAGGGGGGATTATATAAGATATTTCTCCTGCCTTCCTAGCGTGCCTTCATGGTGTAGTGGTTGTGCACGCTGTGCCGTGATTTCAGAGGACCATGGTTCGATTCCCGGTGGAGGCGTTACTAACCTTTCATCTTGCCTGCTCAAAAAAAAAAAAAAAAAAAAAAAATCGGATGTGTACACTACATCACTTCCTTGGATTGGAATATTAAATTATACGCATTTTTTCTTGCATTTCATTTAAACTTATTGGATTGAATTAAATCTACCTCGCCGAAAGCGCATGAACCACAATAGAATAAATGCATTCTTTAAAATTCACTCTAGTATTTGTTTACCATAGCGACACTCTGGCGCTAGATTCACTTAACAATATTAATAATTATATAACACAACTTATATAATAATTATGTAATGGAAACTAAGTTAACTGTTATATAATCCAATAATTATATAACAGTTAACTTATATATTTTGTTCATATTATAACTCATAATGCACAAAATTTAAATCATTTAAAGAATAGAACTATCTAATCGTTGCCACATGTTCTATTCAAATACTATTATAAACCTAGAATGATGTATAAAAGAAATTAAGCAAACAAAACAAAAAAGAAACAGTTTTTCACAGACGATTGAGTATTTCTCATTTAATTAACTCAGTTCTCACTTCGCGAGAAGGCAAAAATACATAAAAACTCAAAATATCTATATTAAAAATTACGAAGTAAATCTCACTTATTTCCTCGGAAAAACTCCAGAAAGAATTAAGCATGATTTAATTGGCAATAATAAATGAATGCATTATCTTTGTTGTTACGAAGCTAAGTTTCTCTAGATTGGCAACAAATCCACTAGTCTTCTGTTTCAAATGTAAACAATCAATGGCCGCCATAAAAAAAGGCTCAGCGACAATTAAACAACTTTAAAATTGCTGATAATTCTAAAAATATTGCATAGAGATTTACTAAAGGCATAAAATCCTTAACCGGAAGATAAACAACATAATTCAATCATTTTTAAAGCAAAAAATGTACAATTTATGGTAAAAGTTTACAATTGGGTGCCCCTTGTTTTTTGGCGCCAAGATCGACACCAGGAAGGCACAATTCAAGATGGCCGCTATACAAAATCAAAATAAGAAGTCAAAGAATTACACAAACTCTGTGTCCATTTACACATCGATCTGTTTTTACTTAAAAAAACATGCTAGAATTGCACAAACTAGACATTGCGCACTGGCTTAAATTTGTCCATGTACACATCAATCTATTTTCATTTAAATAAAATCAGGAATCTAAAACAAAGTTAAAACTATCATGGTAAACCAGAAGTGAGGTTTCATCGCTGAAATTTGAAAAAAATTTTCGCTAATCGAAGGGGCACCCAATTCTACACTAGAGCCCAATTTACAAACATATAAGAGTAAAGAAACTGAGATCACTGAGCTGGGTAACAGAGTGGATATATATATAGATGTATTTATATATGTTTGGTGCGGCCGATTGCAGCCAAAATACGAGGTGCACACCTATATGTTATAGCAGTCCTATATACAAAATTTCAACATTCTGAGGCTACTCGTTTTTGAGTTATGCGAGGTACGTACATACATTCGTACAGACGCCACGAAAAATTCTCTTCAGAATTAATTTTAAAGCAATTTTATAATTTTTTTGAAGGAAAAGAGTATTTTATTCTGTCCTTACGTACAGATATCACGCAAAAACATCGTTAAATTGCATTCTATAGCAGTCAAAATGGATATTTTCGTTGAAATATGCTGCCTGAAACCTTTTGCAATTTCAATACTTCCTTTTTACTTCGTACAAGGAAGTAAAAAGGGGGGAAATCCTAATGTCTCTACAGTGGCACTCGAACTAAGATGGTGGTGGATGATGATTCTCCACACCCAGGATTTGGCAAATGGGTTGCCTAAAAAGCCCGGCCTTTAAAACGAGACATATACCTGTATAAGGTATTTCTCTCACCTTCCTAGCATGCCTTCGTGGTGAAGTGGTTCTGCACGCTGGGACCGGTATTCCAGAGGTTCGTGGTTCTATTCCCGGCAGAGACGTTTGCTAATTTTTCATCTCTCAGGATTCCCCTCCCCCCAAAAAAAATCCTAATGGTCCTACAGGCTTTTCTGGGAAAAGGGTTCATATTCACATTATACAAGGGGAAAAGACCTTGAAACATCATTGCAGCTAACTTATTAACTGGCAGGATTTAAACCAAGTTAGTTCAAAATATCAGTGTTGAGTGGTCTTTGATAAACAAAGGGGAAAATTCCGTAGTTATAAATATATTTACATCGAAAAATCATATAAAATTTTACAAATGTGTATAAATTTTAAGAAATACGATTAAATTAATACAACAATAAAGTCCACACACACACATACAATACATCTGCAACAGATTATGAAATAAGTTTTCCAAGTACAGCATTACAATGTGAAAGTTCAATAACTTTTTTCACTGAAAAAATTTTGTGTGCAACATTTGCTTGTTTTCAATGAGAATAATTAATTTCAGTGCTAGGAAAACATTCTGGAAACCTTCATGGAGTATTTATTTAAGATTAATGCATTGTGCAAAAGGAATATAAAAATTCAGTTAGGATATGTCTTTCCCATAAAACAACAATTCAACAGAATTCCTAAATCCTTCAATTCAACAATTCTGAATTCCTAAATTCTTGCCATAGAAGCTTCATTGTTTGAAAATTTCCAAGATCAGTCACTTATTACGAGGGCCATCCAGGAAGTAGATTACGTTTCCGTCTGTGTCCGCTAGGGGCGGGGCTAGCGCGGCCATCTTGGGGTCAGAGCGTTGCGCAGCTCAGTCTGCATCTAGCCGTGCTAGTGAGAGGTTCGTGCTGTGCTCCGTTCAGACACTGTGACGGTTTGAAATGTCTGCATTAATTGAAAATCCCGCGAGCTGCGAGGTGCGCTCAGTAATAAGGTTTCTGACTGCAAAAAACTGTAAACCGATAGAAATCTATCGGCAGCTTCGTGAAGTGTATGGGGACAACATTATCACTGAAGGTGGAGTGCGTCAGTGGGTCATAAGATTTCAAAATGGCCGAACCAATGTTCACGACGAAGATCGAAGTGGGAGACCCAGCATAGTGACCGCCGAACTTCTCGAAAAAGTCGATGCTAAAGTCCGTGAAAATCGAAATTTCACAATAACGGAACTTTCTTTGAGTTTTCCACAAATTTCGCGAAGTTTGTTGCACGAAATCATCAGCGAAAAGCTTGGTTACCACAAGTTTTGTGCAAGATGGATTCCAAAAATCTTGACAGAGGACCACAAAAAATCAGCGAATGGCTGCAGCGTTGAACTTTTTGGACGCTTACCATAAGGATGGTGACTCTTTACTCGATCGCATCGTTACTGGTGACGAAACATGGGTGAAACATGTGAACTGTGAAACGAAATTGCAATCAATGCAGTGGGGGCACACAAGTTCTCCCCAAAAACCCAAGAAATGCATGCAAACAATGTCGGCAAGGAAGATGATGGCGACTGTTTTTTGGGACAGAAAAGGTGTAATTTTTTGGTGGACTTCCTGGAAAGAGGCACTACAATAAACTCTCAAAGGTATTGCCAAACTCTCCAAAAACTCAAATCAGAAGAGCAATTCAAAACAAGCGCAGAGGAATGTTGAGCTCTAAGATCTTGTTGATTCACGACAACGCCCGGCCCCACACGGCAAATGTCACTCGTAAAGTTCTTGAATCTTTTAAGTGGGAGTTGTTTCCTCATCCGCCGTACAGTCCCGACCTGGCACCGAGCGACTTCCACCTATTCCCAGCAATGAAGAAGTGGCTGGCTATGCAGCGTTTTGATGACGACGCACAGCTGCAAGAAGAGGTAACGAAGTGGTTGAAGGCGCAGGCGGCCGAATTTTTCGACGAAGGAATTTCCAAGCTCGTACATCGCTACGATAAATGCCTTAATTTGTATGGTGACTATGTAGAAAAGTAGTATTTGAGTGTGGCTTTCATCTGTATATAATAAAATTTTTTTCCTATACTTTGTTTATTTTTTTATTCCAAAACGTAATCTACTTTCTGGATAGCCCTCGTACATCATGAATCACGATTTACACATGCAGCATTTACTCAACTTATGTAGGGAATCTAACTGCAGCTATTCGGATTTTTTTTTTTTTTTTTTTATATTTAATTTTATTTAACAACTGCTCATACTTAACTCTAAAATTATATTCATTTGAGCAGTATGTCAAATTATATACATATAGAACATGTGTTTCTTTTATATAGAAGATATTATATGCTTTCACATCTATGAAGAGTTTCCAAGATAATTACTTTGTTCGTATACACAGATGAACTATTTATTGGGTTGTCAGATGAATTCATCCCCACCTTTAATATTATTTGAAAAAACATTTAAAATGCTTTATTGTCACATTAAATGGCTTTTCTTCCCTTTTTAGTCACTCATCTACAATTTCTGTTCATAATTATTTTAATAATACGATTTAAAATTTTCCTTTCTAAGTAGTAGTAATCCAGTAGACAAAAATTAAAGCCCTTTTAAAAAATTCACTGAAGAATACATTACTGATTGATGATACAGTATAAGATTTAAAAGAAAATTAGAAACAAAAAGAATTTATATGACACTCGTATAGAATATATGAAAAATATATAACTTCCCTCATGCTCACTACTTCAATCTTTTATTTACACTAAAGGACAGCCAATGCACAGAGAATACTTTTTCACAAAACATTCTGAAGTTATCACATGGTCACTAAAAAGAACTCACATATTTTTTTATGATATATGCATATGCTTTATATGAATCTATATACTAATTCAAACTTGACTAAAAGCATTGTTTCAACATCTCATTCATGAGAAAGTCATTATAGAGTTCATAACACTATTGTGGGATAATTTTACAATTTCATTATTTCAAATAATAATAAGTTTTATACTCAATTTGTACTTACTCTCACTGTACCCAGATCCATAGGAGTTTTAATTATGTCATAATAATCATGAAGATTTAAAAGTTTCACATCAACTGGTTTATAAAATGGCCATGCATAACCCTAAAAGTGCAAAAAAGGATAGGGCATTTATAATCAATCAATCTTCAGAAAGAATAACCAATAAAAAATCACAAGTAGGAACTCACAGAGTGAAATATAATTCCAGATTATATTAAATCAAGAAATCAATTGAACCACATGTATAAATATTAGACAGATATTTAAAAGCAAAAGAGAATAAAACAAAACACAGGAACATGTGACAATTAGGTAGCAGATGTTTTCTAAAACCCAAACTGTTCATTTAGACTGCAATTACGTACTTTAAAGTGAAAATGCAAACTTTAGAGTACAGCACAATATACTCAAAATTTTGAAAAAAATGTCAATTACCATTCATAAAATACAGTTACTTAAATATATTTCTTATATATCTTGCATATGACTTACATAAGAATATTTATGAATGAATTGTGAATTTTTCGTTTAAGAAATTCACTACTTTTGGTGTTGTATAAGTCTTTGTATAAGTCTTTTGGTTTTGTATATATCTACATGGGAAACAAAAATAAACAAGAGTAATAAATATCTCTATATGTATGACGAAACATGAATTGAGCATTGAAGAGTTATGTTTGTAAGCAACTTCCCTTAGAAAACATTTGTCTCCTGCCTGCTCAACAATTATTCACTTTATGCATATTAATTTAGTCTTAAAAAATTCTTTAAAGATTCTATGCTTAATTTTTATATTATTAAATTTTTTCATGTATTTAGATGCTTGCACTTAATTTACATATTCTTTCTGAATTTGAATGATATTGCAAATTAATTCCCAGCAATAATTAATCTTTTATTTGTTTACAATTGAATTTTCTTAATTTATTATATAAATGAGATAATGATAATGTATTTGTTAAATTCTAATTATATATGACTTAGATATATTTTTTATTAATAATCACAGCTCATTTATTACATTCATTTTAGTAGTGAGAATTATGTTTAATCATAATTTTTATTAATTTGGCAACTGTATCATTTACAGTTAATGGAATAATAAAACATATTACGCTGGTATTAATTAAATATACATGCTTTATTACTAGACATCAATTTTATTTTCTGATAAAGTTAATTTGTTTAAGGCATGTGCCTCTCCCAAAACTCACCTTTACCAATTTTTCAGATTCGGCCACTCACTTAATGTTATATCAGAATTTTGAAGCAAATTTGTTAATGTTTCTAATGCTTCTACTAACTATATGAGTAACTATAACTAGTAATATGAGCTACAATACCACAAATATAATGAAACGAAACAAATACCATAAATATAATGAAATGGATGAACTATTTGCATTTATTGCTGCATTTGCTTTCTATTAGTATCTATACTGCCCAAAAAGGTCATGTCTAAACAGATTTTCATGTTCAAATTCCCCCTCTGCCCCCACACACAAAAAATCAGAACCAAAAGCACATATTGAAGACAATGCTCTGTGGAACATTTAAGCATAGACTCCAACCTGCAGCAGAAATTTCAGTAGTCAACGCGCGAACGACATTTTCCCAACTTTGAAAATGCATGCATAACACATGTTGTAATTAACCATTCATTAATTTTTAATTAATTGCAATCAATTTTGTTATGTTTAAAATCCATATACATATAAAACTGAATAATTAAAAATATGGCTTATAAATTATATGCAGATTTAAATTCCTCAAACATGTATATCACTAAATCTATTATTATATGAAAAAAGCAAGTTTTTTAAATCAATACTAATCAGAAAAAATCATAAATCATATATATTTATTCTGGATTTGATTTCCACATGGGAAACAAAACTTAAATAACAAAGAGTAATAAATATCAGTATTAAAAAAATACTTATAATTTACGAATGCAAAGATTTATTTGTAGCATGCTTAGCAAGCTTATATTCTGATTTTGAGAATATTTTTTTATAACATAGTTCTTCATTTGGGTGCATACTTATTTTTTCAATCAAAACTGCTTTGAGAGTTTTAGGACCTAATTTTTTTTTTTTTTTTTTTTTTTTTTTTAGCAACAGAAAAAAATTTTTTGCAAGCTGCATTTGAATGAGGTATTATTAAGACAGCAAGCATTACAGTAGGCAATGCTTTGTATTTAATACACCCATTCACATTTTTTAATTTGGCAATTTCTCCCCATGCTATATCAACATGCAAATCTACAATTTCTTTCAAATCATCTACTTGATACATGGAAAATTCAATTTCTACTTGATGGAAAAGTATTCATCAAGTAAAGAACAGATGAAAAGTCAGTCCTCAAGTTGATGTCAGCAACTTCAGCATGTTTTAGAAATGGATCACTTAGTGGAAATTTATCTATTAGATATGAACATGTAGTTACAAAAAAAGCTCGGACAGAATTGAAAAATGATTTTACTTCACTTTCATTCAACTTGGCATTTTTTAAATATAATCTTGTGTCTGCACAAATCACTAAATTTTCATTTTCTTTTTGTTTAATATACTTTTGAAAAGAAAGAGATGTTAGAGTAAAATCTTCATTTTCTTTAGAAATTACTGATGGTTTTACAAATCTAACAAATAAATTCATTAAAAGTTCAACAAGTTTTCTTGTCAATTTATGTATATAAGGAGCTTGTTGATGCAAATTAATACAGTCAAAAGTCGTTAATCCGGACTCGTCGGGACTTCGGCGATTCCGGATTATCGATTTTTCCGGATTATAGATCATCAGTTTAAATCTGGTAAGATGGCATGCAGAAATTATAAAATTAAAAATATGAAACCGTAATTTATGAAATAAAGAACAATTATGATCTAAAGGGATCAAATTTATTGTTTACTTTATTAAACATTTCTTTCAATGTAAGTTGTTTAAGTTGCTTCGTTTTATGTGATAATACTTTCTCTTTAATTCTATAAACAGACATAATTTCTTGTTCAGTTACAAAGTTCCGCTGTTCAAGTCCTATAATTGCTGTGTCGAGAATACCGACTAATTTGTCAATCGAAATTTTTTTTTTTCAATAACCTCTGTGTCACTTTCTTCGCTATCGGAAGCGAATTATAATGACGAGGAATTTGATTTAAATCATATCAAAGACGGAGTACATCGAGATGAAATACTACATTTAGTAAGGAATTATAAGCCAAATAAAATAAAAACATCTGCCCTGAAGATAAGGATAGTGCTGACAGATCAACTTCCAATTCATTGCGCGCTGTGTCGTTTCCCTCCCCCCGCAGAGCAGCGTGAAATTGATAAACATATTTCGGAATGATTAGATGATCAAAGGATATATGCCTTTATCCATTTTTTGCAGCAATTCCTTTTTTTGTTTGATGGACATCGAAACATACTTTCGCTTTGTAGATCCTTTGGGAACTCCAGCATCGGAAAATGTATTTGACATAATCCAAAGTTCAAGCTTACTTTTATAAAATTATTCTAACAGTCTGCAAAAAATAATCGGATCCAATTCGAAGATTAAGGAACAACGCAATCTGCAACATTAACTAAATTAGATAATTTTAGCTTAGCTTATACCGTCCGTTATACATTAAAAGAGCATTCGTAAACATATTTTGCACATGCGCACACGCATATTCGCAGCCGTAAAGGTCTTATGCGCATGCGTCAACTCGACGCATGCACAGAAAGTTTGTAGCTTTGAGGTCCGGATTATGGGTGTCCGAATTAACGACTTTTGACTGTATTTACTGTTATAAACAAAGGCAAAGTATTTTTCAAAAATAACAAGTACAATTCGGTGGTAGGTGATTGTAACATTTTTTAATGTTCTGCAATCTCTCTCCTTCATTCTCACTGTTATCTGGTTGATCTCAAAAAAAAAAAAAAAAAAAATTATCACAGCATCTCACTGTTCCAAAATCCTTGTTATAAATTCTAAAAGAGACAACCATCTCGTACTGCAATATTTCAAAATTTTATAAGATTTTGCATTCTGTCCCAAAATTCATTGAGCAACTTTGAAGCTATACTTCCACTTCGAACGTTTTTCCATATAAAAATATATATATATTAACAACATTTTGATTTCTGAGCCAATTAATTGTTCAGTAGCCTTTTTTGAAGCTATATGCAAGAAGTAGCATAGACAACCTTGGATGACTATACTTGGTTGATGCATTTTGATAAAGGATGCTACACCTTTAAACTTTCCAATCATATTTTTAGCATTATCTGAAGAAAATGATAAGCAATTTTTCCATTCTAAACCTTTGCTTTTAAAATTTTCATTTATACAATTAAAAATACCTTCTCCGGTATTATTCGTGCACTCTAAAATAGAAATCAGTGATGTAATTATCACTCCATTTTCTTTACTGTAATATGTTATAATCAATGGATACAGTTTGTTATCATTGTTATCATTACTTCCATCAGTACTTGGAGAAAACGATGTATTGCACACTGATTTTATAATATTGGCAATAGTACTTTCTGCAAGCGTTTTCACAATAGCGGCAGTTTTGGTATGATTACAGTTAAATTTTTTTGCTCTGGCAGAATCCGGAACATTGCTTTGAAAAGCTCTTTGGAATGATCCGAAACAGAAAGCAGTAGATTGTGTTCAATTAAAAATCAAGCAAAACAGCATTCGGCCTTCTATAGGACCTGTTTCGTCATCTTTTATTAAGAAATTCGTAATTTCTTTAGATTCAACAGTGCCAAGTTCTATGTTTTTGAGAAAAAACATGCCATTTACAGTCATCTTTTCCACCATGTGCAACTGAGAAGTCTTTGTTGCATACACTGCAGCGTGCGTGATTCACAGAAATTATGGATGCTTTAATGCATGGAAATTCTGAAGAATATGAATCTGCTTTGATAATTTTGGCTTTTTCATTCAATGTAGCATTATTTAAAAAAAAAAAACCTTCTACCTGAATCCCAGTTTACACGACACACGCTAAGCTCTCGCCATAATCCAAGCAAAGGAGCTGAAGGCAAGGTAAATACACAGCAGCAACGAACCTGGGAGACCAAATGTTGCGGGGAAATATTGGCAAGTCATTAACGATTGGAGTTACTGATTTACGATTGGCTATTCTTCAAAACCAGCAATGCACTCAACGTGTGATATATGATGACACAAGTATTCAGCCAATCATCGGATGAACTGGTTGGTTACGTTATGCGTACTTGTTCTCCTACTCTGTTTCTGTAAAATCCGTAGTTTTTCCCATACTTTTCGTAGCTCGTAGTTTATTATGAATTTCCGTAGAAACTATTGGAGAATCCATAATAGTTGGAGTCTATGTTCAAGTTCAAATCTAAAATCATACTGCTGTGTTTGTTCATAAGCCTCAAGACAAAAAAGTCTGGTCATATACTGTATTTGACGGCATATAAGACACACTTTTTTCCCTAAATTTGGTATCAAAAAAGTTACCCGCGTCTTATACATGAAGGTAACTGCATTCAATAATTGTTTATTTGGCTTTTACGAAATTTGAGAACTAAAAGAAACAACGCTATTGAAACTTCTTTCCTTGTGTGTGGCCGTCTAAATAAGGGTGCATCTTATATGTCGTCAAATCTGGTATATATATTACTTTGGAAATATATATAATATAATTTAAGTGTATGTGATCACAATCCTTAGGTTAATTAAATTGAATGAAATAGAGAACTTATGTGAAATACATATTCTAAAAACTGCCATATGCTAGAGTAAATGAAAGATAAATTGCACTGTGTAACAGAACTAGTTGATTATAACCAAACTATTCTATCAAACGCCACCTAGTGGTGACAAACGATTTACCAGCTACCTCAAGACAAGGGTAGGTTCTTTATTATTATATCTACGTAATTCAAACATTTATTTTAAATGTTAGATGTTTTGTTTCACTGCACGGTCTGCTCATCCAGTGACATTCATTTCAGTGTATATGTTCTGCTCTAATGTATATTTTCTTTGTAACTGTTCCTGTGCTCTGTTAATACATACTTTTAGAGCTAGCCGGTTTTTGTGTTTATAGACGACTAGTTACAACTTTGGAATAATGGCAAATAAATAGGGAAATATTTCCAAAGAGCCATCCAGATGACTAAGGTTTCTGCTCCCAGACACCCTGAAGTTTCAAAAGGCTATGAGTGAGAAGTATTTTCTTGATTATAATTCCAAAATGACCCCTTGAATTTGTAACTTGATTGCCTTTTCCCCTAATACATGTACTACTTAGATTGTCAACACATAATAACTACTATGCAACTATACACAACTACTACTTACCGCATGCTTCTTGGCAAATAGTTCTTTTAATAGTGCGTGGCAATACTTCATTTGTTCTGTCATCTTATTCTTTTTTAATTTTGCATTGTTGGGCTAAAAATGAACGAAATTCAATTTCATTCAATAAATCATGTAGAACAAAATTTTTCCAGTTTAATATTTTGTGCTAATAATGAAAAATACATCCACTGAAAAAACAATTTACCTCGACTGAAACAGGAGTTTCAGGTAAGTCTTTTGAAGGTTTCTTTATTGGTCGCCCACTTTCACGACGTGTGGACAATTTTGGTACTTTATCAGGCGGAACAGGAGGAACTACAGGTTCTATCACTGTATTTGCTGGTGTTGTTGTATCTGCTTTCCGCTTAACTCCCTTTTTTGCCTTCATGAAAGAAATGTTATAAAATAAATACCTCAATTTTCAAACCATACGCATTTAAAATTAATAACAGAATGCCTCAGATGTAAATGTTACTGAGCAATGGCCCATTATTAAAGCAAATTTAATGAATGTTTCATATACACCTTTCACCAGAATAAACACACAATGCTATCAATAACTAATAATATAACAAATTTTAAATAAGAAATCATTTAACTCCTCTGGGCTTTTTTAAGCATGCAAAAATAAGAAATGCACTAAAACAGGTCTTCTCATCTCGGACAACATATGTAGTACTAATATGTACCATTAAATAGTTTTTTCAGTGAAATCTGAGTAGGGAACAAATATGTGCATGCGTAGGTGGTGAGTGTGTGCCTATATACATTTTTAAAAAATCTCCCTACATAATCTGAAACAACAAAGGATGAAAAAACTTTCAAATAATTTCACTGAAACTTTCATAACAATGACTGCATTTTTAGTACTTTTAAAATCAGTTTATCCACTTTATGTCTCCCACCCCCTTCTGAATGAAATGAGAGGTTAAAAACACAGCTAGTTAATTTGTGCATATTCCACCCCTGATGAAATATGTCCACTTATTTTGTTAATTTTCATTTCACTTTGCTTTTATCTCCCCCTCCCAATAACAGATATTTTCTAGTTTATTGCTGTGGTATTTAATTCACCATTCATTTGTATCCTTACAGCAAATATTCCACTTTGCCTTATTCCACTTTGTTATGTGTTTTAATACTTTTACAGGCATTTTACATTATTTCTATTTGTATTCTTATGTTTATACATTTCATAAATTGTCAAATTGGCTCTGGGTGAAAGAAATTTACATTATTAAATACTTCTTTTCAGCTTACAAAGCAAACTTACATCTCTCCCAATATAATTTGAACTTTCACATTATGAAATATTTATTGCTTTTCAGCTTACATACGCAAACTTACATCTCTCTCAATATAATTTGAACTTAGAATATTAGTATAAACTTGAAGAAGTACATATTTATATATAGCGAACTTCCCATATGACCTTCTATACCTGTAATTTCTGACTATTTGGATCATTATTGGAGTTATTAACTTTGAGAAACATAATTGCCTTTGGACTAATTATCTTTCTATCTTCTTCGAATGCAATTTCACTATCACTCTCTTCATATTCTGCTCTTATGATAACAGAAACAATATCTGCATTACTTAAGCACTGTAAGCCTAGCTCAGTCGAATCATTTTCAAACCATTCCTCAATGTCTTTTGTATTTTTGAATAATTTGACATTTTTATTTTTTTCCCCGTGTACAATTTCAGTTATTGCCTTGACTTATTCATAAATGGATAAATTTCCAATTTCTATATTAAGAAGACTCTTTTTCCTGATTGAAACATTATTATTGTGTTTATTTTCGACCAAGTTTTGCTACTTCGTATATCACATGCAACAGAGCAAACTTTTCCTAAAACTTCAAAAAGTCATCATCTTCCTCAGTAAGAGTTAGTAGAACAACAGAATGGTAAAGTTGTTTTACTGACGATATAACACCTTGGCTGAATTAAACTGGTAGCATTTGTTAGTAAAAATATAACCATCATTAACTGTTTGTTGTTTCCTTACACACCCTCATTAGCAGCAGTGAGGTTGTACATGATGTTAAATGTTCATCTAAAGCGTCTTTCCCTCGCTAGAGGGCGCCAGGGGTTCCTTAGTGAGCGAAATTACAACTTTTTGTTGTTGTTGTAACCAGTAGATAGTTCGTTTTCGAATCCGTGTGATGGATGGATAAATTGATTCGTACAGCCATGAGAGAAAAAGAGACGCTGTACAAGAAAATGTATTTAAATATTAATTTTTTTCCTTTCGAATGTTTTATGTAAATAAAATGTGATGTCAAGGAATAGAATTGTGGTGAACATCATGTCAGATTCAATGCTGCATCAGAAAAGGTAAATGAATTGTGTTCTTGTTTTTTAAATCAGTTATATAAATAGAACCTGCATACGTCAGTGAATTCTGACAACTTCGATCAACAGTAGTTGATTAATTACATAATAATGGGCACCACCATGAATGAATAATCTGCACTCATATAATAAAGAGTACACAATATATATATACACACATGCACAATATTTAACTTGAAACTGCACTAAATTTTAATTGAAAAGACCAAAAAAGAATTTGTGGTATACTAAATTATAAATTTGAGGCGCGGTGGGGCAGTGGCTAGCACATCGCGCAGCAGCACCACAGATCCGAGGTTCGAACATCGGGCTGGGCAAGGTCAACTCAGTTTTTCACCCTTTGATTTCCAACCCTTGGCCCGATAAAATGAATACCAAGTTCACTTGGGGACTAAACACTGGGGGTCCTGTGACAAGTTGACCACTTGTTCAGGACAAATGCTTACGCATCCCGGGGCCCACGGTCAAGAAAGCAGATTTCGGAGCACAGCAGGCCTTGGCCCATTAGGACTGTTTATGCCACTGAGTTTAGTTTTAATTTCAAAGAAATGCACATTAAAAGTTGAAGGAGAAGGATAGCAATAAAAATTCAATAAAAGAATCAGAAAACATTTTACAACGTTGCATTTTATTCTTGAGAGAAGTTAAGTTCTTGCAACTGCAATATCAGGCAAAAGATAAGTACCCCCCGCATACGATTACTAGGTTATGGGAATCATAAAATATAAACACCTCACTTACTAGCAAGTTTTAAAAGTCCTTATAATGATAATTCATAATTAAATTTATTGAGGATCAAAATCCTTACACTCATAAACAAACTGGCACAGTATAAGCAATTGGTTGGCACAGCTACTTATTCTTCACAAATTGTGAACAGATGCATTTTAAGTAAAGTTTTCATGTTCTTTCACATATGATCATTCATATAAACAGATATTTCAGCTGAGACTTTTAATGTCTCAAGAAGAAATAGAATGGAAACTAAAAAGTAGAAATAATTATGCGCACCGAGAATGGCAGATGCCATCTAAAATTTGGAAAGCATTAGGCTTCAAACACTTGACTGTCAGAACAATTACAAAAGGCAGCTAAAGAATAATGTACCATGAGCAATACATCACTTAATATTAAGGAAATCTGTAGCTACTGCGAAATCATCATTAGCATATCTGTGCTATTCATCAGGACTCATATACATAAATCTACCTTAAAAATATTTTCAGATATAGATCTCATTTATAACTTAACTAAACATTAAAAGGTCTTTCTCATACATAATATAAAATTTATTTATAACCTATACTAAAAAAATAAACTAGCTGTGAAATTTCAGTACTTTGCTAAACGTTCTGTGAACTGGGATGGAAATAAGATTAATTTTTAAGATACCTCCTCACAAAAAAATGCATCCTTAATATTCCAATCATAACTATAAAAAAGATATTTAAGTCCCGAAAGTCCAGTTAAAGAGGAATACTTTAAAAATTCCATAGGCAACATTCATAATATACCTTTAACTCTCATTCTCTGTGTATTTCATTATTTTTACTTTTATTTCAATTTCTTCTTCAACAGTCTAACTTAACCAGATTTTTCTCTAAATGAATGTTGTGAAAGGCCCTAAAAATCTTTATTTAAATTAAAAAAAAAAATTGAAGTTAAAAAGCTTCTAATCACGAGCCACAAAGAATAAATATCACTATAATCTTTAAAAAAATTCTGATGTGTACACCACATGACCTCCACAATTGGAATATTAAATTATACGCACATTTCGTTTAAACTTATTGGATTGAATTAAATCTACTTGGCCGACAGTGCATAATCCACAATAGAATAAATGCATTCCTTAAAATTCATTTTATTTGTTTACCATAGCGACACTCCGGTTCACTTAACAGTAGGTTCACTTAACAGTATTATATTTCGTTCATACTATAACTCAGAATGCACAAAATTTATATCATTTAAAAAATTATCTAATTGTTGCCACATGTTCTATTCAAATACTATAATAAAGCTAGAATGATGTATAAAAGAAATTAAGCAAACAAAACAAAAAAGAAACAGTTTTTCACAGACGATTGAGTATTTCTCATTCAATTAATTCAGTTCTCACTTCGCGACAAGGCAAAAATACATAAAAACTCAAAATATCTGCATTAAAAATTACGAAGTAACACTTATTTCTTCGAAAAAATTTCAGAGAGGATTAAGCATGATTTAATTCGCAATAATAAATGAAGACATTATCTTTGTTGTTGCGAAGCTACGTTTCTCTAGACTGGCAACAAATCCACTACTCTGCTGTTTCAAATGTAACAAGCAATGGTTGCCATCAAAAAAATTATTAGGCTTAGCGGCACTTAAACAATGTTAAAATATTGATGATTCTAAAAATATTGCATACAGATTTACTAAAGGCATAAAAACCTTAAACGGAAGATAAGAACAACATAATTCAATCATTTTTAAAGCAAAAAATGTACAATTTACAAACATATACGAGTAAAGAAACTGAGATCACTGAGCCGGGTAACAGAGTGGATATATATATAAATATATTTTAAAAAATTTAAATTTAAATTTTAACAAACACGTATAAAAGTAAAAAAGCAAATTTAAAGCCAAAAAAATTTTTTTTTAAATATTTAAAAAAATGTATAAACATATAAAAGATTTAATTCTCGAACTAATTTACAATATCATTTAAATTCAGAAGCATAAGCAACTCAAGTGCAAAACCAGACCATAAAAATAAATTCACTAATTTAGCAAATTAAAATTAATCCAAACAATTTTTTTAACAATGCATGTGTGAATGAATGACTGTTGAGCAGGCAGGAGACAGACTTATCAAGGGGAAGTTGCCTCCAAACCTAACTCTCCAATCATTCAATTCGTGTTTCGTCATTCATGTAGGCAAAGGTAAAAGTCAAAACCAAAAGTAAAAAGTGAAGAATGTCCAAAAAGAAATACCAATAAAGTGGTACCCTTAGAAATTAGCATTTAAGAATTAAAGTTCTAAAACAAAAATACTAATGAAGTTTTTTGAGAAACAAGCAAGTAAAGTCAAGTATTAAACTTTTTTTTAAAAAATTAATTTTTTATAAAAAATAATCTAGAAACCAATGTATTTTACAAACCCCTGTCTACAGAAATGAATATGCATATCACCCCCAACACGAATATGCATATCAATAAAAAGAAACTAAAAAAGAACTATACATAATCCATATAAACCAATAAGAAACAAAAAGAACTAATTCACAATTTTTAAAAAACAAATATATAATATAATTTCATATCTAGAAAATACTTAAATACTATATAAAAAATTTTAAAAAAATACTTAAAGCAAGTAAATAGTACGTTTTCATTCTAACTTATCTACTATATGAGCATTGGAGTAAGCAAAAGTGTTTTTATAGAGAAGTAAATGTGTTCTTCAAATTATTGGCATATATACATGGCACTTATGTAGGTAAAGTTGAGTGCCAAGCTGCTATCTTTGTTATATTTAAAATTTTTTGCAAACATTAATTAAAATATAAAATAAATCTAGAAAAAATTAAATTAAATTAAAAATCCTAAAGGTATGTAATTCAAGTTTAAATTTTAACGATCAATTATTTAGGGAGTTAAGCCAATCAAGTTTGCTGGAAGTAAATAGAGTAAAGTGTTATTGTGAATTAAGAAATGTAAACTGTTTGTAATGTGAAATGTGTGTTCTGTTGAAAAATTATGTAAATATTGTAATGCAAAAAATTAAAGTCATGAAGTAAAAATGAAATGTTTTAAAATTTAAGTTTTAAAGCAATATTTAAAATGTCTAAAAATTTTCCAAAATTTTTTGAAACAAAGTAAAAAAAAAAAAAAAAAAATCCCAGAAAATTCTCAAAAATTCCTTAAAGAAGTTAAATTTAATGAAAGAAAATATTGTAAGTTTAATGAACTTGATTTCAACTAGTATATCAAAGCTTAACTAAATACTGGCTAAAGTATGGAAAATTAGAAGAAGATTAAAATCACTCAATTCGGGCTATAATTGAGACTTTTGAAAAGAGTTGGCCCTTTATTAGTAAAAGGTAAGAATACAGTATTGATTAAATATACATATTTACAAATTTATTTACAATAAAAATTTACAAATAATTTCTTTACTCTTCTATATCCTTCATTACCCTATAGCTAAGGTTTAAGGTAATGTTATCACATCAAAAAGAGCCAAAAAATTATAAAGTAAAGTTAATGCCTGCCTTTTTAATATATAAATTAATAAATTTTGGTGGTACTTGGCTGTCAACTTGAACATTAATTAGCTTTATTATTTCTTCCTTTAAATCTTCTATTTCAGTACGAACAGTTTACATTTCTTAATTCACAATACCACTTTACTCTATTTTACTTCCAGCAAACTTGATTGGCTTAACTCCCTAAATAATTGATCGTTAAAATTAAAACTTGAATTACATACCTTTAGGATTTTTAATTTAATTTTATTTTTTCTAGATTTATTTTATATTTTAATTAATGTTTGCAAAAAATTTTTAATATAACAAAGATAGCAGCTTGGCACTCAACTTTACCTACATAAGTGCCATCTATATAACTAATTTGAAGAACACATTTACTTCTCTATAAAAACACTTTTGCTTACCCCAACGCTCATATAGTAGATAAGTTAGAATTAAAACGTACTATTTACTTGCTTTAAGTATTTTCTAGATATGAAATTATATTATATATTTGTTTTTTAAAAATTGTGAATTAGTTCTTTTTGTTTCTTATTGGTTTATATGGATTATGTATAGTTCTTTTTTAGTTTCTTTTATTGATATGCATATTCGTGTCGGGCGTGATATGCATATTCGTTTCTGTAGACAGGGGTTTCTAAAATACATTGGTTTCTAGATTATTTTTTATAAAATATTAATTTTTTTTAAAAAAAAAGTTTAATACTTGACTTTACTTTCTTGTTTCTCAAAAAACTTCATTAGTATTTTCCTTTTAGAACTTTAATTCTTAAATGCTAATTTCTAAGGGTACCACTTTATTGGTATTTCTTTTTGGACATTCTTCACTTTTTACTTTTAGTTTTGACTTTTATCCCAGCCTACATGAATGACGAAACACGAATTGAATGATTGGAGAGTTAGGTTTGGAGGCAACCTTCCCTTGATAAGTCTGTCTTCTGCCTGCTCAACAGTCATTCATTCACTTATGCATTTAAAAAAAAATTGTTTGGATTAATTTTAATTTGCTAAATTAGTGAATTTATTTTCATGGATTGGTTTTGCACTTGATTTGCTTATGCTTCTGAATTTAAATGATATTGTAGATTAGTTCGAGAATTAAATCTTTTATATGTTTACACATATTTTAAGTATTTTTTTAAAAAATTTCTTGGCTTTAAATTTGCTATTTTAATTTTGGCTTTAAATTTGCTTTTTTACTTTCATACGTGTTTGTTAAAATTTTAATTTTAATTTGTTTAAATTTAAATTTCATTCCTTGCAGCAATGGCGCAAAGAATTATTTAATTGAATTTTATTTAAATTAAATTTAATTAAATTGAATTTATTCTTATTAAACAATTTATAAATATATTTATATACGTTTAGCACGACCGATTGTAACCATAATACGAGGTGCACAACTACATATTATAGTAGTCCTATATACAAAATTTCAACGTTCTGAGGCTACTCGTTTTTTAGTTATGCGAGATACATACATACGTTCGTACAGACACCATGAAAAATTCTCTTCAGAATTCATTTTAAGCAGTTTCATGATTTTTTTGGAGGAAAAGAGTCTTTTATTCTGTCCTTACGTACAGATATCACGCAAAAACATAGTTAAATTGCATTCGAAAGCGGCATTTTCATTTAAATATGCTGCCTGAAACTTTTCATGATTACAATACTTCCTTTTTACTTCGTACAAGGAAGTAAAAAAATGGCTTAAAAGATATACTTAACCCTCTGAGTGGCACAGGTTTTGGATTTGTCATGAAGATCGGTATTTATGCTGCATTTATTAGCTAAATTTATATAATTACTTATTTTTTAGCCTCTATTTTCATAAACTTACATTCATTAAGATTGCATTTACATTATTAAAGAAAGTAAGAAAGTAAAATATCTTAAGTTATAAGTTTGTATCAAGTGACAAAAGATCTCATGACCGGATAAAGCTGGTCACGCAGCTCAGAGGGTTAATAACATTTTGAGAAGTACTACATTCTACTGTCAAATGACAAAGCAGTACCATATTAAAATTAAGTACTATGATTAAACTATATGGATAGTTAACAATAAAGAAAAACATTTCTCATTATACTTGCTACACAATAATTTACCTTTGTGGGAGCTGTAGTAACCACAGGATCAGGAGTTCTGGCAGGTGCTTTCTGGTTTTCAGCTGCAGATGCTGCAGCCCTAGAATGAGGAGCATGGTGATGAGTATCACTTGATGAATAACTGGAATGCCTTAAAGTAGGGGGAGATGCTGATGGAGATGCTGACAGAGTTGTTGGCGTATTTGTACTTCCTGGAATAGTAAATGGAGTAGTTGTCCGCGTGGAAGGGGGCACTGGGGTCAAAGGTGAACTTGAGACAGGAGAAACACAATTTTTTGCTCCAGCAGGAACAGGTGATGTCAACTTTGAATTAAGTGGAGTGTTCACAGCCCCAACTGCAGCTAGTGACAGAAGTGAATAAGTAAATCAATATTTAAGTCAATAACCAAATTTTAAATGTATTACATTAAATTACCCTTTCCAAAAATTTTCTATATGAAACCTTTTAGAGCATTTTCATAATTCCTATTTTGTAAATAACAAACCTTTTGGCCGTCCAGCGCCCTTTCCTTTTTTCCCTTTCCCTTTCCCACCAGGTGTTCTAATTGCAGGCATTGGAATTTCAATTTCCTAACAAAAAGAAAAGCAATATAAAATTAGTTATGTAAACAAACAAAATAAGTACTGAAATATTCAAAAGCTGCCACAAAAATTTCAACTAAATCTATATAATTTTGAGGGACATCTCAACTCTGGAAGAAATACCATGCAGTTGGTAAATGATGATGTTATATAAATACAGCTTGAGAAGTGTAATGGATAAAGCATACTTGCCAACCTATGACACTCAAAAATCAGGAGATTTTTTTTTTAAGAAATCAAGAGATTTTTCACAATGTTAAAACTACTTTTTAAATGATAAAAATATAGTTTTTAATAATGAATTAACTTTAAATAGTTACTAATTCATAAATGCAAGCAACACAAAAATACCTTACACATAAAAAAGCATTTTTATTACTTGCATCGTTTAAGAGGGGGGGGGGAAGAAGACACTTTAATCAGTTTTTGTACAAACATTATGTATGAACAGTGGTAGATTTTGCTTAAAAAAGAAACTTCATAATTTTGTTCATAGCAATTGCCATGTAAGCCTGTTTTCGCTAATAAAAGTTTTTCTAATGTGTCATTACTAATATTAGACCTAAATTTAGTCCTCATTTTTGCAACACTGAAAAATCCTCTCACACTCTGCATTACTATGGGGAACTGTCAAGATGGCCAACATAATTCTAAACAGTTCACTATATTTTAAAATTCCATCAGCACCTTTCAGTTTTCCAATTAAACACCACTGGGTGTCAATCCTCTATGATTTCATAACTTCATTTAAGTTTTCTAATTATAAACTGCAAAATTGCGACTGCAATGTTTATCAGTGGCAACATCAATATCATCATCTCTCATGAATAAATGAAGTAACACAGGAAATCTGTTAAAAAAGTACCTTATATCAGAAAAAGATGCATTTGCTAGAGCAGAAACTTTAGCATGCAAAATCACTTCATCGATGACTGGAAATTTATGTAGTATGTAATCATATACTCGACAGAATAACTTCTAACATGAAGATAAAACTTATTTTTGTCTTCTTCTGATTTTCTATTTCACCATAAATCACATCATATATAGAATTACAAGACAAAACACATACAGGTTTTACGAACTTTGATAAAATGTCTTTAAACAGATCATAAATCATTGATTGCAAAACATGAATTTAATGGAATTCTGCTTTGTAGAACTGTGTTAAGAACATCGAATGATGGCAAAATGAATTGTAAAAAAAAGCAAAAAGCTTTGTTAAGGTCCGAAGAAAAAAACATAAATATTCGTTCTTCAAAAGATAAACTTACAGTAATCGTCAAATGTTTTGTGTGTTGAGCAATTTTTTTTATTTTGAGAGAAATTTGTATCAGCTTTACGCTTATATTTTGCAGTATTATTTTGAGAACTGCCATTTGAATTGCTGAATGGTGCAGAAATTATTTTTCTCAAACCTATTTTTAACAATGGAAGTAGTAAGTATATCTCCATTTACTTTACTATTTTATAACTTTCAATAGAGTATTTTATCGTAACTCTCAAAGCATTTACTTCTTTAAAAAATGCAAGAAGTGGGTTCCATTGATCGAGGATTCTAGATAAGCATTTCTTTAAAGACAGCCAGAGTGTACACACAGGTTTCAAAATTTTTCTCATTTCAGTATTATGCAGCTGTTGGAACTGTTTAAATTTTTCCTTCCTTTTAGAACTCCTTTAAAGATAACAATAATAACTACTATAAACAATGTGTTCATCTACATTTATTGGTAAAGAAGCTGCCCTTTTTTCAGCTGCTAAATTTAAGAGGTGACTGGTGCATCTCATAATCCGCAAATCTGAATTTTCCTTTCTTACGATGCTTCAAACACCAGTCTTTAAGCCTACCATTACTGGTGCATTACCGACACCAAGTGCCAGAGGAACTGCACTTTCTTTTAAAGTTTTAATAATTAGCTGTACTATATTAAAGCCTGTCGAATGTCCTTCTAAAGTGGGGACAGAAAGTAAACTGCACTCAATTTCTGAAGACTCTGTATTAAAAAAAGAAACAACAATTGGATACAGTTTTGAATCGGTATTATTGCTTCCATCCGTAGAGAGGCAGAATGGAGCTGTTTTAATGCAATCAATAACTGAAGATTAATTTTTCAAACCCATTTCTTTAACAATTGCTCCTGTTTTCGTTCTTACACTTTAGTATTTCTTAGCGATTTCACTATCGGGAAACATTTTCCTAAATAAAGCTGCAGCGTGATCCAATACATTCAGTGGCAGGTTGTGCTCCAGTAAAAAGGCAGAGAACAGACATTCTGAACTTTTTGGTCCTTTGTTTCGAAAGAAAATTTGATTTTTCGTTTCCCCCCCCCAAAACCAACTTATGTTGTCCTTGTGTACGCACATGTTTGAGAACATCGCCCTTCTCACATGCGAAATCGAAAAATCGCAACGACAGGCGTTACACATTGCAAATTTATTACATTTCCTTGAGGAAATAATGGAAGGAAAGTCAACTGTGTACGATTTTTGAAACGTACACGAGTATTTCCCTTTTCTCACAGACATAACAAAAGATGATAATTTCTAAAACTATTTCTTGAAGGCATATGTACTCACACAACTCAGGACAAGATGAACAAAATAACTAAAGAACATCCAAATTACAGCTTGCTGTCCTCATTGGCTAATATATGCCAGATGACACGCAGTGGAGCTCGATGCCTATTGGAGAACTGGAGAATGACATTTCTGGATACGTATATGCTCTCAGTCCCAAAGCAGAAGTACTCTCGGGACAAGCACTACCACATTACTTAAAGCTCTAAAAGGATATTATCAGGTCAAGTAATGTACTTTCATTAATACGAAACTTGAAGTCTAATGTTATGACCTGACCTGAAGCAGAAGTTACCTAATTTGCAAGGTTTTGTTTTAGATATAATGTAGAGAAAATTAAATTGCTTTCAGACGTCAAAAATCACTTTTTTTTTTTTTTTTGTTTGTTCATATAACAAAGTATTAAGCCAAATTCCATAAAAATCATGAGAAATTTTAAGAATAAGAAAAAGTCAGTAGAAATATATTGTAAATCACGTTGGCGGGAGAGCGGTCGAAAATCGGGAGAGTTGGCAACTCTGATATAATAATGTTTCTTTATATGATGTAATATATTCATAAAACATATTTTATTTTACACCTGTTTTTAGACCATAAGTTGTTTATATTCATTAGGATACATATGGTCCATGTGGAAAGTTTTATGTACCAATAAAATCATTACTTCATTCAATTATACATCAAATTTATTTATTTTAGAATACATATCCTCGAATCATAAGGCACTCAAACTAATTTAAGTGGGTTGTTAGGTTAATACAAGCTGTGCATATTTGGATGCAAAAGGTGTTTAATTTGTTAAAAATGCCACTTATTTTTAATTCAAAATTCACTTTTTAAAATAAAATCCATGGTAAATAACCAGTTCAAGCAGCTAATGTTAAATGATGAAATAATAATTGTGCATATATCCATTTCCATTATTTAAATACAGTACTGTATGAATAAAATGTTCTCATGTTTTTTATTATTTATTTAAAAGTCGTCTGTGGAAAATATGCACCCTAAAAAGTTCCTACTGAACAAGATTCCTAACTTTTCCCTCTCTTTCAGAAACAGGCTTTAGCAGAGCCAGTACTTTGCTATGGGAAACAAAAAAACAGGCTGAATATTTTTGAATGAGGTCACATAAGAATTAAACAATTTAATGCCAAATATTAAAAGCAACTGTGTAGATGATGCATCATATGCAGTCATCCAATTTTTTAAAATCAAATTTTTGTGCAATTAGAATTTGTGATTTTGCTTCTAAAAAATTAGTTAAGAAAAAGTCGGGAGAAATATATTGTAAATCGGGTTGGCGAGAAAGCGGACAAAAATCGGAAGTCTCCCACCTAAATCGGGAGAGTTGGCAGCTCTGATGAAGGCAAAGTGAGAGAAATTGATTCAACCTGTTTTAATTATGAGTACTTCAAATTACAAACAAACAGTACCAAACAGAAAACTGTTCAGAGAATTTGATTTTTCAAACAGACTAAAAAGTATTAAAGATAACAAATAACAGCATTTACTTGTGAAAAACATACAAATTTAATAACATTAATGAATAAGAATAAAGAGCTACTTTCAAAAGATTATATGAAAGGATTCCTCACATTGCAAAGTTTAAAATGAGGAGCCAACTCATGTTGAAAACCAGATGCTTAATAAATTTAGAGGAATAATAAAACATGATTTTTACACAAATGATATGAAACAAAAAGTCCCAATGAATAGTTAAAAATAAAGAATAATTTGCAGTTAAAATAAGTAAAATCTCAAAATACCAAACAGAAAACTGTTCAGAGAATTTGATTTTTCAAACAGACTAAAAAGTATTAAAGATAACAAATAACAGCATTTACTTGTAAAAAACATACAAATTTAATAACATTAATTAATAAGAATAAAGAGCTACTTTCAAAAGATTATATGAAAGGATTCCTCACATTGCAAAGTTTAAAATGAGGAGCCAACTCATGTTGAAAACCAGATGCTTAATAAATTTAGAGGAATAATAAAACATGATTTTTACACAAATGATATGAAACAAAAAGTCCCAATGAATAGTTAAAAATAAAGAATAATTTGCAGTTAAAATAAGTAAAATCTCAAAATTTAAAAACATTTATTAAAACAAGTATTTTAAATAAACCAACTCTAAAAGTGTTTTAAAACAAATAAAAAGTTAAATACATCTTAAAAGATTAATAATTCTAAATGCAGATCTTTTCCCATACCAGATGTAACATTAGAACCACAAATATGTTTAACAATGATTTTGTAAAATGAGAAATCAAGTGAAATAAGATGCATCATGAAAGACATTATAGTGTATTAAAATGCTCATTCTCTCAATTTTTTAAAAGCGTTGTCTTCTAGTGTAGCACATTTTGGCAATTTGTATGCAGATTACTAGAAATGCATTCCAAACATAGGCTGAAAATATCTTTTAGAATTTTGTTTATTTTGAGACTAACATTCATAACTTTGCAAACAGTCAAGTTCCACACTTCAGGGATTCACTGCAAAAATCAGTGAAAAGATGCTGACCATTCATGTATGACTTTATTTAACTGGTGCTAACATTCATAACTTTGCAAACAGTCAAATTCCACACTTCAGGGATTCACTGCAAAAATCAGTGAAAAGATGCTGACCATTCGTGTATGACTTTATTTAACTGGTGCTATCACCAAAACTAGCTTTTCCAAAATGGCAATTTGCTGCATACTTTGGTATTAAACCTACCTCCCAAACTCCAAGTGGAAAGGAGGATTAATTTCAATTGGATTTTTAATATTTTGATGGAAATCACAGCTACTATACAAAATTAGGATGACTGTCATGCTTACTTTATGGATGCTGCATTTTTGTGTAGTAGGATATATTTCAGATAAACGTTTTTTATATAGTCATCTCAACTAAGCATAAAATTTAGAATACATACAGTGGATGGACAAAAATATGGAAACACCTTGTGAAATGCATGTTTGAAAAAAAAGATTGATTTTAATGAAATATGTAGGTGGCGCTGGCGTTTTTGACTACTGACGCCACCTATACAACTTCGTAAATGTGCTAAACAGTTCAGTTCTTGTCGGAGAACTGTTAATGTGAGATTGTCGTTGCATTATGTCAGAGTTAACAGACTTCGAATGTGGGCAAATTGTTGGAGCTTTTGTATGGTAGGTGCTTCCGTAAGCAAGGTAGCCGAGGTGTTTGGTGTTTCAAGAGGTACTGTATCGAAGATTTATTCCGCATATTTGAAAAGTTTGAAAGCATATTTGAATGTTGTGTTACCGAACCCTGTGAGTCCCAAAACAATTAGAAGGGAGCTTCATAAACAGGGAATTGCTGGCCGTGCTGCAATTGAGGAGCCACTCAACAGTGATGCTAATGCCCATAACAGGAAAAGGTGGTGTTTAAGTCATAAAGCCTGGACTATAGAGCAGTGGAAGCGAGTAATATGGTCTGACGAGTCTTCTTTCACATTGTTTCCAACTTCTGGCCGAGTTTACGTCTGGAGAATGCCATCTCAAGCCTATAATACAGACTGCTTGTTGCCAAGAGTGAAACATAGCGGGGTTTCTGTTATGGTTTGGGCAGCCATATCGTGGTTCTCTGCTAGCCCCATGATAAATGTGTCAGGGCACATGACTGCCAAGACTCATGTGAACATTTTGGCCGATCAAGTTCATCCCATGGTACAAACTTTCATCCCCGATGGTGATGGTGTCTTCCAAGACGACAAAGCCCCTGTTCACACAGCTCCCATTGTCCAGGACTGGTTTTCTGAGCACGAGGATGAGTTGTCCCATCTTCCCTGGTCACCACAGTCACCAGACCTGAATATTATCGAACCTTTGTGGTCTACATTGGAACGGAAAGTGTGTTCTCGTTATCCCCCGCCAACATCGTTATCTGAACTTGCCAAGGGAATATTATACCACAGGAAGAATGGTATAATATTCCCTTGGCAAACATACAGGAACTGTATTTATCCATTCCGAGAAGCTTGCAAGCTGTTTTGGATGCCAACGGGTTTCCTACACCATATTAAGCAAAGAAACATGTTTTTTTAAAGGTGTTTCCATATTTTTGTCCAACTCCTGTAGCCTATAATGGGATCACACATCAGAATATATGTATGAGAGAAGATGGGCACTTTTGATTTAGTGAGAGTTCTGGATTTCATTTTCTTATGTTGAAGAAAAAAAGAAAGAAAGAAAGAAAAAGATGCATAAGCATACTTGTTATTTCTTTTACATAATTCTTGCACAGTTTTGGTATGGATTTTACATTTTCACAACAATTATCATATAGTACGAGATGTCAAGACACACATCATACAAAAATATAAGAAATCTTAATATTTTTTTTTTATAATTGAAAAACATTTTGTATCAATCAGATGACTTTCTAAACATTCCCTGATTCGCAGCATAGATATTTAATAAATTCAAATTATTCAACAAATTCATCGTTCGACAAGAAATGTAGATCAGAATCAGAACTACCACTAAAAACAATACAGAATTTTAGCGCTGAAGCATTTACTAATCCTACTCATTTGAAAAAAGGATAAGGCAATGGCTGGTATTATTAGTTTTATAGAATCCGTATTGTGCAAAGAACACTTTTTCTATTGTTCAAAAAGTTCCGCCTATACGGAAACATTATTCAATGAAGCTTTTAGTAAATATAAGAATTTCTCTGAAATATTGCGATGCGAAATTTGAAAAAATAGCCGGCTCGAATTTGCCCCCTAATGAAGGAGACAGATTTCCCGCGAAATCGATAACAGACCCTCTGCAGAAATAAACTCATAATCCCGATATCCCATACATATAGTATGTGCAAAAGAGAATAAACTCCGTAGAAGGTGATAAAAAATTAATTTATGGCTTAATTGAAACAAACACAGAAATTAAGCTAAGCAAAACCGTGTAAAAACAAATTGAAATGATAAAACGAAACTTAATTTTCATGTGAATTTTCAGCGCTGACTCTCCCATTCTAGAAATTTCAATTTGTTTCAGACAAAGACCACATTTAAGGATTGCCATCCATCAATATCCAGTCTTTGTAGTCAGCTTGATGAAGCCACAGTTTATTGAAAATGCACTTTCCAGGCATCTCGTTCCTATTGGCGTCGGAAGGGTTGTGGCCTTCCAGGTTGGGATTGCTCTAATTTTGGCAAATATTTTCAGAATCCCCCCCCCCCCCCTTTTTTTTTTCTCGAGCACCTTCATCATCACTTTCGCCTCTTAAAAAAACTTCCGGCTTCACGCTTTCGTCACAATCTGCCTAAATTTATGGATAACACCTGTTTCGAAAGATTGGGTGAATAGCCAATCAGACACCGATACTTTCGTTCGGGTAGCTAATTGTTTTTTTTTTTTTTTTAATCGTTTGCAACGCAAATCCGCCAACAGATTGGTTAAGAGCCGTGTAATTTTAATTCCATATTCATGAGAAATCGTAATTCACACTTAGAATGGCAATCATTAGAAATGATAAGAAATGTCAAATGAGCAAAATTAAGGACCGTTTATTCATTTTGGCCAAAATTAAGGACTTTTAAGGACCAAAAATCATTTTAAAATTACACCCTAAAAAGCAAAAGAAAGAGGAAATTAACCTCAAAGACCCCCTTTAAATGGCATAAAAATCACATAAAGGTAAGTATTTACCAAAGGGCATCAATTCTTATTCGGCAGTTTTGAAGAAGGTGATACTAGCGATGACGATATTCTTGTTTTCGATGATGATCATAGTGAAAAGGATTTTTATGGTTTTGAAAGTGATTAAAGTCGAATTTCATGATAAGCAACTTTTTCCTTGAATCTGTGTTTTTTGTTGTTTTTGCTTTATTTTGTATTATGTATGATTGCTTGTCGTTCATTCATTTATTCATTATTAAAATTTACATGTCATGTTCAAAATAGCTTGGCGTTTGTTAATTTTCCTTAATAAAAATATGTTTGGTAATTGCATTCAATGATTGTTTATTTGGCTTTTACGAAACCTGAGAACTAAAAGAAACCACATTTTAAGTTATTGTGGTACTGACTATTGAAACTTGTTTTCCTTATGTGTGGCCTAAATAAGGGTTCGTCTTATATGCCGTCAAATACGGTACTTTATATTTTTTTGCCTCTGCAGAAAAAGAACTGCTACATTACCTCTTTATGCAAGATATATACATACATACATACATCTCTCTACATCTACAGACATCAAACACCATCCCGGTCCAAATGGATATTTCCAGTGAAATATGATACACCAAAATTTTTGTTGAATTAATTATTTCGTATTTCCTTTATTTATTCATCTACTTTTTTAAAAGAGAGGTAGCAGGATATTATGTATATTTTGTTGTTATACTGCTATAATACAATACCTCTTTGGGCAAATCTTGCATCTTTTCAACAAACAGCTTTTCGATAGTCTGAGCCATAAAAACAACATCCTAAAAAGAAATATATTACCATTAAATCATACTACATTGTTTTAAGAAACACATTCATACTGAATACTTTTTGGTCTGATTGCTTCAGATTTATAAATTAACATGTCTCTCTCTTTCTGGTGCAAGTTTTCCCTTGAAATTCAAGAGTCAAATTTTAGTTTCTCTGATCAAACTGAACAAATTCTCTCATCAAAACACGATGAATTAGTAATCAAATTAAGTGTGAGTAAATAAACTATTTTACTCATATATTACAAATTATAATGAAATAGCTGAGAGCATTACAAAAGTAAGCCTTCCACAAAGTATACGAAAAAAAAACACATATGAGAAAAATGTATCTGCATCATATATAAGGTAGAGTTTTAAAAAGAAATATTAAACTCAGAATGACCTGTTCATTCCACAAACAAATCTTATAAAAGCACTTAATTCATTTCACCATACTTTTACCTTTACTTTTCTAGTAGCAAGTCCTGAAAATTTTTAAAATACCCACATAATTTTTCCCTTCTTCAATTTTTTCCCTTACTTAAAAAACAAGCTCCCCTAAATTTTAAAATGGAATCATACATATAGTAATTGTTTCATCTTCACAAATTACCTATAAAGATAAACCTTCATGAACTACCTGCAAAAGTCTCATCAAACCTTTTCATTTTAAATATGGAACTTTATGCCAGTCTACTACAAGAATTAACTATCACAGCAAAATAAAATCGAATTCACATTCAGTCTAAATTTTTGCTGTGTCGTGTGTACATTCATTAACCTTCTTTAATTATTCATGGCTGTTTTGAGGCCCAAGAAGTACAACAAAATGAACAACATTCAAGCTACATGAAACTAGAAATGAAGATATCTTATTAGACACTGCAATGTTAATAATTTTACTGTGTATTCTTATTGGAATATAAGCTTCTTTTAAAATAATAATTTTGTGATAGTTCCCTATAGTTTGTCCACGACTACTTTAATTTGCTATGTTCTTACTGTAATCACAACTTTTAGATTAAATTATTGACATCATTTTACTCTCTGGACCTGGACTTTTGGGTGATAAAATTAATAAAGAAGTGGGAAAATATGGAAAGAAATACGGTAGTTTTCTTAAAATGTTGAAAAATGAAACCATTGAGTAACGATTTACACTGGATTTAAAAAGGTATTTTATTAATACAATTCTAACATTATAGCATAAAGCACATGATGTGATGAATTCTATATAATAGGCATATAATGCAATGTTTCTTTAAGTTTACCTTTTCCTTTAAACAGTTCGTGTCTTAAATCTGCATTTTTAACAATGTCTCCTTTCATTGCTCCTAAGGATATTTCCTTGACACTTTTGTATAGCTGTAGCTGATATTCTTGTTTCTGAAAAAAATTGTTTTCCCTAACTGTCCATCCAAGGGATTGAAAGTCATGTTAACTTTAATTTCTTTGCTTTATTTTGGAAGAGTATTTTTATATAAACCAGACAATAATTAAAACTAAAAAGTGAAATGCACAACTGAGAATTCTTCACTAGTATAATGGTTAAAAGCAATGCATTTTTATTAATACTTTTGAGTTACATTTCATCTGGATGGATGAGATTCAAAAGGAACTGTCCCACAAGCATCATTAAGTCTAACTTTAGGCTACGTTCAGACGGCGGCATAAAGGCCATAGGGGCGTAGTCATAAGGGCATAAAATAAGCCAATTCTGTTCACACTTGCGAGAACGGGGTGTAAGCCGTGGCCAATGAGAGAAGCTAAATTTGCGCATGCGTGAATGTGTCTGCAATTTTCCCATGCTCTTCTGCTCGATTGATTTCCCGTGATGCTCTGCTTGTTTTGTAACAGCGAAATCTTCTGTAGAAGGCCACTTCGTTTTAGCTTCGCTCTGATTGGTCGACACTTATCCCAAACTCGACAGCAATGGAATTCTTAATTCTTTACGCCCCCATCTGAATGAAGCTTTAACGAAAAAATACACACAAAAAAAAGTTTAAACCTTAATGTCATAATTTTTTTATTATTTTAGATTATTACTAATACTACGATATATGTTAAAATGAGCACTTGATAATCTTTTTTCTTTACTTTACATGAAAATATATAAAACAAATTTCTTACTTTGAGGAAGAGTTTTCGAAGCCCTATTCGAATTATTTCAGAGTTTTAAATGACAAAATATATTAATAAATATTAAAATAAATTAAAAAATACAAGAAAGACTATTTAAAAGAAAAAATAACATGGGAACTAGAAGGCTGGAGACTCGGTGAACTCGGTCTCTGACTAGAAATATTGCTCTCTAAATAAATCATGACTCTCATCCATGTCACTAGCTGGTTCATTAATGTGAGTATATCCTTCCTTTGATAAATAATGCTTTCTCAACATAATAAACTAATGTCAAAGTTTTCTAATATAAAAACCACTTTCTTGCCATAATAAAGTAATATGTCAAAGTTTTCTAAAATAAAAAGGAAATACGTGAAATATAAGCGATAAAAGCAATGCAGACTATAATAGAACAGCACATGGTAACCATAAGACCCTACAAAATATACAAAAAAAAGGGGGGGGAGAAGAAGAAAAGAAAAGAAAAATCAAAAAGATATCAGAAATGTAAACGTTTAATGGCTCATGGCGAGTTACATATTGAGCTCTGTTTGTTCACATTACCCTTTGCCCCTTCCCCCGTAACAGCTGATACCAACGTTATACAGAATGTGATCAAACCAGGGTTCATAGTTACATTTTGGTTAAAAAAATAAGCACCTATAAGGACTTTTCAAGCACATTTTAAGAAAAAAATAAGCACCTGTGTAATTGCATTATACACAACTGCATAACCTTAAAAATTAGACGTAATTTAAATATGAGAAATACAGTATTTATTAAGAGAGAATAAGCCATGAAATATTACTTCAACCATGGAAAATAATTACTTTTTTAAATTTTAAATACAGTTCAATTTACAGAACTAGTTTACAATGAGAGAAAAAAAAAACTATGCAGAACTAAACTATATTACAAGATTTAATGATGAATTTCAGTTCAAATAGAGGAAATAAATAATAATAAGGCTATTTTTCTATTCGCTGGAACTTAAAAAAACAATTTTTTTTCCACTTATATTGATATTTAATTAATTTCAATCTAAATTCTTAACATTTTCTAAATGTTCATTGATATCAGTTTTCTCTTAAGATATTGCAAGCAAAGTAATTTAAGTAAAAAAGAGGAAATTCTGAATCAGAAACAGAAATTTGCTTCATGCAGTCATCCTTTAAAGTAACTTCAAGTATAAATACCGGACATTTGAAATTATGCTCCTGGTGCCGATCTTGGCGCTAAAAAAGAATCGCCAAAACTAGGGGCCACAATTACACTTTTACCCCCTCCCTAGATTTTTAAAGAATTGCTTTTATTATCATACATTTTTTTAGCTTTAGTAGAAGTAATTAGCATTGAATGGAAAAAATTTGAATTTCTGTTTGATAGAGTGAGTGAGTAATACGTCAAAGTCGTTACTCGTCGGGACTTCGGCGATTCCGGATCATCGATTTTTCCGGATTATAGATCATCAGTTTAAATCTGGTAAGATGGCATGCAGAAATTATAAAATTAAAAATATGAAACCGTAATTTATGAAATAAAGAACAATTATGATCTAAAGGTTATCAAAATAAATAAAAAAAAAAAAAAAAAAAAAAAAAAAAGCAGCTTAATATTTATTTGTTTACTTTATTAAACATTTCTTTTAATGTAAGTTGTTTAAGTTGCTTCGTTTTTTATGTGATAATACATTCTCTTTAATTCTATAAACAGACATAATTTCTTGTTCAGTTATAAAGTTCCATTGTTCAAGTCCTGTAATTGCTGTGTCTACTGACTAATTTATGAATCGAAATTTTTCCGTTTTCAATAACCTCTGTCACTTTCTTCGCTATCGGAAGCGAATTATAATAACGAGGAATTTGATTTAAATCATATGAAAGACGGAGTACATCGAGATGAAATACTACATTTAATAAGGAATTATAAGCCAAATAAAATAAAAACATCTGCCCTGAAGATAAGGATAGTGCTGACAGATCAACTTCCAATTCATTGCACACCCTGGCATTAAAGATAAACAAAGTTTAGATAAATAAACGTTAAAGTTTAGATAAATAAAGGATATGCCTTTATCCATTTTTTGCAGCAATTCCACTTTTTGTTTAATGAACTTCGAAACATACTTTCGCTTTGTAGATCCTTTACATATTAATAAATATATATTAGAAATTCTATTTCACATAATCGAAAGTTCAAGCTTACTTTTATAAAATTGCTCTAATAGTCTGCAAAAAATAATAAGCCGGATCCAATTTGAAGATTAAGGAACAACGCAATGTGCAACATTAACTGAAATAGATAATTTTAGCTTAGCTTATACTGTCCATTGTACATTAAACGCGCACTCGTAAACATATTTTGCACACGCACAAGCATATTCGCAGCCGTAAAGGTCTTACGTGCAAATGCGACGCATGCACAGAAAGTTTGTAGCTTTGAGGTCCGGATTATAGATCATTCCGGATTATGGGTGTCCGAATTAACGACTTTTGACTGTAGTTATCCACTTCCTATTGAATACTGCAAAATTGATCTCTGTTTAATAAATCATTCCTGTTTTAGTTATTATCACAAAATTTAAAAAGTGATCAACATTAATAAAGAGTTAACTGACGAAGTAAGAAACCTTAATGCTAAAATTATGTTTGTACATAACCAAAATGTTTGCTTTTTGCGTCAAAATATTCTAAAATGTATGACATCCCTTTTACATTAGACTTCCTACATTGCCTTCCTCTCTTTAATGTGTACTAGAATTTGCTTTAATCACAGTTAATATAAATTATCTGATGTATAAGATCTGACTTTTTTAAATCTATGATATGGTATGTACTATATTTTAACAAGATGTTAATTAAAATAAATAAAGCATGCTTTTATAACACTTATATTTACAAATAATAACTAGTTGTAGCTACAGCTATTTGATACACATTTGATCATAATCAGGAAAACTGAAAATGAAAGTTTTGTAAAACTTTAGAATTAAGTAATATATTAAAGTCCAAATAAGAAGAAGATAAAAGATACTCTATAAATGCAGGATTATACCAAACTTCTACCAACTGTTACATTAACACAAATGCAACCATTCACAAATCTTTAAATGTATTTTTAAAGTTTCTGAAGCACTGTAGAGTATAACAGAAACTAACCATGCAATTAATTATTACTTACTTCACCAGCTTTATTGTACCGGTAACAGTTATAAAACATAACTTGGAAGTCCTTAATACATTCATTAACATCATAGTAGAAACAATTTTCAATCCTCTTTTTAATGGTAGTCAAATCCATTGGATATTTAATAATGCTATGGTAATCCTGTAAAGTAAAATGTGTCTTAATGTACTTCCTTTATACTCATTCAGAATTTAAAATACTTTTTAACATTTAATTACATTCACATATTAGCAAAATTAATGAAAAAAATAATTTTCAGAAAATACAAAAATAAACTATTTTTCTCCATATTTATTTTATAATTCCAATTTGTCAACTAATTGCAAATTATACATACTGGAAGTTCCAATTTCACAGCATCAACTGGTGATTGAAATGGCCACACATACTGATGTTTTAATATAGCCTTCAAAACTGTTTTAAGTACAAATTGCAAAGAATTTGTATTCCTGTGCGGCTTCCCTTCTGGTGGTATAACTGGTGGCTGAACAATGCCATTTACTGGCTCCATACCAAGATCCATTGCCTCAAACTCTGCCACTGCTGCTTCATCATTGATGTTCTTAAAAAGCAGAAAAAATGTTATAACACACAAACACACATATATATCAAAATTAGTTATAAAAGCAATGCTTATAATTTAAAATTCGGTTCAAGTTTAACATAAAAAAAGAGAGAGAACATTTTTATTTCTCATTTTTCAATTTTACTTCTCATTTCGCTCTTCTTTCAATAAATTTGTTATTTTTTTGATAATTTGTTTACATTTGTCCTTTCCACTTTTGAACAGTAAATGTTGATGAAATTCAAGTTGATTCATATGAAAAAGTTAGTAATGCATTCAAAATTGGATACACCAGTCTGAGTTTATTTTCTTTCAGATGCTTATCAAAATACAGATTAAATGCATTATTAGTTTAAGTAAAATTTAATTAAAAAATTATCTACATTAACTTATTACTGCATTTTAATTACAGTTCGTTAATTTATATTAATTTACATAATAAAAGCCTTCCATACTTAAAAAAAAACTCAAGTTTTGTTTTTACAAGTTTCAAGAACATTGAGAAAAATCTCAAAACATTTATACTATGAGCTACGGAAGAATTCAGTTTTTATTTAATATCTATCAGTCGGCAACACTCAACAAAAGCTACATAAAGAAACTGACAAGTCATGTTTCAAACACACTTTTTTATTTAAATAATTAATATTTAGTAATTTTATTTGATGATTATTTAATACCTTGCACAATATAAGGATTATTTAATACCTTGCACAATATAGGCCAATTTAAAACTTTAAAAAGCACTAATTTTTAACTGAACAAAATATATTACACAAAATTATTTTTTAATATATAAATGATTGTTTTTCCCCTCTATGCACTCAATTCCGCACATTTTTTAATGCAGTCTTTTTAATACATTTTTTAATGCTCCTTCCGCACATTTTTTAATGCAGTCTTACTTTTTTTTTTTTTTTTTTTTTTTTTTACTTTTAAAGCAATACGATGTACGCTTCAATTTTCTCCAAATTCCTAGTTATACATATACACATACCAATACTAAAACCATTCGTATTGAAATGTCTGCATGAAAACAATGTAGAAAAATTATTAGAATAGCTGGGAACCTTGCTATAATATATTATATTATGGAAATTTATCCCAGTTTTACAATTCAAGGAGCAATTAAGCAATGCATTCTATTGCTACAAAGAAATGTATAATGAGAAAAATTAAAGGGAAATAAGGATGTATACCTTGATACTGAAGTTTTTAGAGGGATTAAAATGAATTATTTAAAAAAAAACATGCATTTATTTATTTATAACAAAGATACTTGATTTATTAATTGCATTTTATTTAACAACAACGGGGGGGAGAACAGAGGGGGGGAAACATTTTTGCAACCAATCATCACTTCAAGTAGCCCAATTTCAAACAATCCTTCGCACTGTCAACTATTTAAATTATGCAAGGTATTGCTGCACTTGAATTAAAAATTTAAAAGCTAAATTTTCATTACACAGCAATGAGTGGGGCATTTTACCATGCAACAAAAGTCAGCAGTAAATTTATTAAATCACTACTTAAAATGAAATAAATAAATAAATAAGTTGCAGATTAATTAAAAATATACTTTTGAAAATCCTAAAGCAAAACTTACCACAAATAACGAAGAACGGCCATCCTTCGTTCCACCCATCCTGAAATTAAAAAAGCATTTAATTACTCTATATTGATGAACAAAATTATTTCTGCCATTTTAAAATAAATCATTATTTAAAAAAGAAAAATAATTTAAAGCAAAATTCATCCTACAGAAACTCAGCAACTCAAGATATTAAAAATATAAATGGAAAAACAACAGATAAAAACTAGATATGCTAGCATGAAAATATAATCTTCATAATTAATTCATTACATCCGATACATCTTAAATGCAATAAAAAAAGGAAATACAAATGGATTTTTATAAAATGTACCTTTCTTAAAGCCTTTTCAAACTACTTTTTTTCTCCTAAATAATGTACACTAGTTGAACTTTAATTTCAACTAATATACATTAAAAATTACATTCACATTTCTTCTCACAACCCAATTTTAAAACTGTTTTTATTACATTTAATGATGTCAATATAATATTTTTCTTTCTCTCAGCTTGATGCCAAATTTAATGAACCAAATTAATCTCTTGTAATTTAGAACCTAAATTTCAGCTGAAATATAGAAATTACAGTTTAGAATTCACACAATACACATTTTTGGATTCATAGAAAAGATATAAACAGATAAGTTTACAAAAGAAATTTTTACTGTACCCTTTAAATATAATGTGTAAGTTTTACGAGAAATTTTTGAAAAAAGTAATAGTTTTTCATTAAAATGCAGGTCATTTAATTAAGATTTACTTTGTATCAAGAAGATAAAACTTTAAATAAGACAATTACAAGAAAATACAAGTATTAGCCTCTATTATATTAGAACACCATTTTCAAACACTTGACAATATAGTAATGAATTAAAAGTCATCTCTGAAATAATAGTCATCAATCAGTCTACTCATGTTTCCTATACTGGGTAGTTGGACACATGCTTGAGATATTTTGAATTAGCCACATTGGCATTTAGTAATTAATTTTAAAAAAATAATGTAAATTAAAAGTTTTGATAATACGAATTGATTCAAAGATGGCACATTAGCCCAGTTATAAAATTTATTAATTCTATTTAATAATATTAACAGTCCATTTTAAACTTACAAAGCTGTAAAACTTAATTTAAAAACACTGGGTCAGTACATACTATCCAATATTTTTCTGTTTCATTTAGTATAAGAAATTTAATATCAATTTCAATTTGTAACGGAAACAGAGTTTGACATTTTCTTTATCTTAACATTTTACCAACCAATCGCCTATTAATTGGCTTTTTATCACCAACGCCTACTGACCGATAGCCTATTAATCGGCTTTTTATCGGCAATGCCTACCGACCAATAGTCTATTAATTGTCTTTTTTCCACCAATGCCTACCAACCGATAGCCTATTAATCGGCTTTTTTCGCCAACATCTACCGACTGATAGCCTATTAATTGGCCCCCCCCCTTTTTTTTTTTTTGCCAACACCTGCCGACCCATAGCCTATTAATCGCTTTTTCCTCGGGGCTATCTAAAAATAGCCTATAATAGAAGAAGGCATGGATGTCTGTAAATGTATGGTGTCGCTGCGGCACGGCGACACTCTAAATATGCAGTGAACCGAAAGTCTTCTCGTGTGGTTTGGTGGAAGGAGAGAGGAGTGGGAGGCCCTCGGAACCGTCCCTCCTGGGGTGCTCTCCATCAAACTTGGGGGCAAAACTGAGCTGTCACCTGAAAGGTGCTTAAAGCTGTTGCCAACGGCAGGTGTAATTTAGCACTTTTTGGCATGGGGGATTTTCATGAGCTTGGGCTGACTACGTCAGACAAGTGAGCATAAGCAATAACAATAAACACAAGAGTTTGGTATTCACGTGTGCTTTATCACTGATGTGTCAAAAAAGTAAAGAGGTAAATCAAGTTACACATATCTAACTGACATATTAAGGATGTTTAACTTTATTCCCAAACATTTACACTCACAATCATGAAACTCGTAAATAATTAAGCAATTTTACTACAGAAAAAACTCACCTGCTTTCAAGGGGATTCTTTTTGGATTTCATAGGCAAAAGTGTTTTGTTAGCAGGCTTCTTTTTGGGAGTACTGGGGCTGAGGAGGAAAAGACACTTTTACAGAAACTGCATTGCTTACAACTATATTAAATCAATCTACTAACTATATAATACACAGAACAGTCAAATATGCATCAGAAATTAAATGCACTTTCTTATTTAAAGATAAAAAAAAAAAAAATAAACACTTTTTGTTGCTAAATCAATGATATACTCTGACATAATTCAAACTGTAAATATTCTGATATTTTATATTCTTTAAAAGCTAGGACTTAGAATTCAAAATTAGAAATGGTGACACCTAATGAAGTCGGGAAAGATGACCAAACTTAAATAAATGAAAAATAATTAATAAGATATTAAAAAAATTTAAAATAAAAGTGCTGGAGTTCTACTTTGGGGCTGTGGTTGGAATAACGATTTTTCTCAAAGACTGAGAAATACAAGAGCTGATTGTTAAAAGATTACAATTACTTCAAAGTAGAATTTTTGGTCCAATAAAAATTATTACAATTCAAAGAGTTATCATGATTGTTCAAATCTCCTTTCAAAATAAAAATGTTAACATGCACGCACACACACACAAATAATATATATATATTAGAAGATTCACAAATGTAGGCATGGGGTTTGAACTGTAAGTTAGGAATAAAATTAAGACTTTTTGGCTTATATTTTTGTAATGCATGTAATTAAGGCATTGTAATTATATAATAATTAATTGACATTTCTAAGTTCCCCATCAGTTTTTATAACAAAATTTTTATAAATATGTTCTTTTTGATCACATCAGGGAATTAACTCTATATCTGAAAATTAAGTCAAAATTTTATGTATTAGTTTTCTGCGATTAATGCAATTCTTTCAAACATCCAAAGGAAATTAAATATGATCATACCTAAACATTATTGTGAATTTTTGAGAATCTAATTCCCCTTGATAAACCAGCTCCTCCAGGAATAATAATTTATGTAATGAATTGTTCTAATTTTTTATACATATATATGAGGGTAAGGTGAAAAGTTCTCAGCCTAACCCAGAGATGGTGCTCCAATCAGCAAAAATTTATGTTTCCCGCCTGGGTGCATGTGTCATTAGTTTGTATGAATAGTTGCAATTTGTTCTTTCCAGCAGTTTGATTACACGAATTTTCGTAGTAAACGTCTTGCATGTTATTCATTAAAATGGATATACTTGAATATTGTGCGGTCATTATTATTATTATTTTGGACGGAATAACCTCTAAGGAAATTCATCCAAAGTTAATAAAAGTTTACACAGAAGTTTTTCTCCTTCCATATCAACCATTAAAAATTGGGCTGCTGAACTTAAACCTGGTCGCACATACTTCGAAGATATGGCATGAAGGATGGCCAAAAACTGCAACCACATTGGAAACCATTTAAAAAGTTCATGATATCGTATTGGACAACAGGCGAGTGAAGGTGAATGAGATAAAGATATCAAAGAATGGGTATCAAATGGGGATATCAAAGAAGTGTGCGAAACAACTTGCACAAATAATTAGGGATGCAAATGGTCTGTGCAAGACAGCTGCCACTTTTGCTGCATGCCAATCGAACTGAATAACAAAATTCAAGAGAAGAGGCCTGGTTCGAAGAAGAAAAATATCATCTTTCACCAGGACAATGCACCTGTGCACAAGGGTGCATTAACGATAGGATAACTGCAGGATCTGGGATACGATTTGCTAGGCCATTCCCCCTATTCTCCTGATTTGGCACCCTCAGACTTCATCTATTCCCAAACGTCAAAAAATGTGTTTCTGGGAAGCCCTTTTGCATCAAATGAAGAAATTGAGAGGGTCATATTTGCAACCTTTCAGACTGTTATTTCCAGGAAGGAATACTGATGTTGGAGAAATGCTGGACCAAGTGTGTTTGTGTAGAAACAGAGATTATGTAGAAATGTAAAATAACTTTTTTTTTTAACTAAAAGTCACAGTTTTTTATTTTCAGGCTGAGAGGTTTTCACCTTACCTTCGTATGTACTACTACTTTCTTTTATTTTAAAATTTACATTTTTGATGCATACTAATACAAATTTTATAATTTCTAAGTTTATTACAAGTTTTTAATAGTTTAATCACTGTTATCTTAAGAAATAACATTTCCTAATTTCAATTTTCAATGGTTCTAAACTTCCTTTCCTAGGAGATAATTCATAAATAGAAAATTAATAATATTGCACGTGTATATATATATAAAGAATGAAAAAAAATTAATGTAAAAATCCTTTACTAAAGCTAATTTATGCTCCTTTTGAACTTTTAATACATATTAAGCAATCAATCCTCTTAAATTACATTTATTTTTAATTCTTTTTAATATTTACATTAAACAGCAAAAGATACAATACAAAATACCTGGTAAGTCAAATGAAAGTAGCAACTTCCCTTACTCACATGGACAAAATCTAGGCAGTAGTCTATTTCATGCCATACATTCTGAAGCATTTGTTCAGTCACCAACATAAGTGCATTACAAATGCGTACTTTAAGTTCTTCAGTGTTTTTGGCCATGGAAGGCATAAACACCTTGTCTTTCACATAATCCCACAGAAAAAAATCGCAGTGTGTCAAGTTTGGAGATCACGGTGGCGAAGAGCAGAAGACATTGTCGACAGCTCCACTTTTACTCATCCAACGCTTTGGAAAATGTTGCTTTAAAAATGTGCGAACCTCCATACTCCAATGTGGGGGTGCTCCATCTTGCTGAAAGATGTAATCTGCGGAACCAGAGTCTAGCTGTGGTATTAACCATACCTCGAGCATGTCTAAGTAAACATTTGATATCACACTTCACTCACTGAAGAAAAAAGGACCGTACAATTTATGTGATGAGATCGCTCAGAACACATTAACTTTCGGCGAGTCTCTTTCATGTTCAATTACAGTGGAAAGCTTCTCCGTACCCCATATATTCAACTGCTGTACCAACTGAGCTTCCCACTTATGTGGAAGGTTGATTTATCACTAAAAATGAGACTATCATCTATTGTTTCAACTTCAATGCTTTCCAGCATAAACGTAGCGTAATTCATAAATTTGTTGTAGTCTTTCTGTTTCAATTGCTGCACAAGTTGAATGATGTACGGTTTCATTTGCAGCCGCTTTCCGAGAACACGTCATACCCCCCCTTTTTTTTTTGGTTGTTGCATTTGTATCTCCCTATTGCCTTTATACATCAATTTCCGTGGGCTTCATTCATACGTGCGGCAAATTCTTTCTACATTATCTGCTGAAATATGTGGCTTTCCACTACTTTTTCCCTTTGCACAGACATTCTGTTTCTTTAAACATCTGATGCCACCTGCATATGTTGTTCGCATTTGGAGGTTCTTGTTTGTAACACTGATGAAATCTTCTCTGCACTGTTATAACAGAATGACATTTTTCAAATTCAAACGCACAGAATGTTTTCTGCACGGGATATGCCATTTTTACTAATGAGACGCCTGCAATGAACAGGTTTCTTGTCGTTGCCGAAGTTTCAACTCGCATGCGTAAGCTCCCGCTTCCCTGCACCCTACATAAAGAAATTTTGTAGTTTCATCTACATTCTGAATTACTCTTATCGATTAATTCTTTTCTTTTAAATAGTTATAGCCATTCGTAACTGCTATATTCATTTTGACTTACCTTGTACACAAAATGAATTTTAAATAACAATAATAATAATAAAGCTACACAAAATATGTACACAGTACAAAGTTCAAGCTCTGGATTTGTCAGGACTTTGACAATTCAGTAAATTTCAAGATTTTAGATCATCAGTTTAAATCTACTAAGATCACATGTAGAAATTAGTAGAAAAAGTATCAAATAGTCATTTATAAAATAATGAACCATTCATGATTTTACAGGAATCAAAACTCTCTCTCACATACACAAGAAAAAAAAAAAAAAAACGCTCAGTATTACTTGTTTGCTTTATTAAATAAATACTTCTTTCAATGTAAGTTATTTAATTTTTTTTTTGCTAATACTTTCTCTTTGATTCTTTACACAGACACAATGTCTTGTTCAATTAGAAAGTTCCACAGTTCTAAGATCTGTAATTGCCTAATCAAAACTTCCCACTAAACTGTCAATCATTTATTCTCATAAACCTCGTTGCCACTTTCCTCATTATCAGTAATGATATTTTCTGAATTTAAAACCACACTACAGATTTTGTTGTCTGTTATCCAATTGTTGCATGGGGCTCTGTTATCTCAGTCAAAAAAATTTTGTCATGACAGCTTCAGCTACTGTCACTTCTATGTCAAAATAACGTTACTACTTTGCCTAAATTTTGAAATCACATTTCCTTCAGCCCAAACTGGGTCAATGCCATTTCTTCGCATCAAACTCGCTACACAAGGCAGGTATCAAATATGTATTTGCTTGCAGATTTTGCTACAGTTACTGAATAAGAAAATCTTTTGACATAACTGAAAATTCAAATTTTGATAAGATAGCTGTAATAATAACAGCGTGGAAAAAACAATAAATCAGACCAAAATAGTTAACGAAAACTACAATTTGCTATGTTAACTGAACTGAATTTCTTCTGAATCTGCTAGTAATGCTGTTTTATCAACAACTCGTATTATCTACATCTCTCTCCATACAAATATATTCTGGGACTTCACTTACTGTTTAGATCAGAAAGAAAAATAAAACCTGCCCTAACCACTCCATTAATGTCAATCAATGTACTGTCATGGCCTTGATTCACTAGCAGCATTACATTCTCCATTCTTACATTCTGTATAAAAAAACAAGTTTGGAACAAACACTTTTTGGAATATCTGATATTTAGTGATAAAAAGTAGCATGTATGAACTCGATAACTCAGTAAAAGTGTTTTACTCAACTTTTTCTTTTGATATATTTTTCTAAGAGACTAAGGTATAATAACCATATTTCTAGAATGCAAATTAACATAATTTAACTTTAAAATACAAGTATCCTCCAAAAACATTTATACAAATATATTAACTTGTAATATATGTGTGTTATTCCGCTGCAAA